CTTTACCAGCCTTTTTTTTTATAACGCAGGTTTAAAATGCTATTTACATACGAAGGCGCCTTTAAGAGGCACACCGCCGAACGGACCTCACACCTGGCTCCCGCAAGTCTTAAGGACACCCCAGTGGCTGTCCTCCGAGGACCCCGCAACTCTTACGGGCGCTTTACGGCATAATATCCGCTAAAAAAGTACTGCGAATATCCTCTAAGCTGCTTAGCGCGAAGCCGCGGGATCCCCATTTAGGGATTCTTCCGCGTCTCCGCACCTAGCAACCTCCCGGCCTAGCCGGGGCTCCACGGCAGAGGTCTCCCGGGGTATCACGGGGACCCCGCAGACGTGCGCAGGTAGGACCGCGCGTAGGGCCTGAGTACGCGGCCTAATGTCCACCGTACCGCCCCCCGTCCGCTGCGGAGGGCTACTTGGGCGTGCCCGTGTAGCGCCCTCCGCCGTCCCCCTCTTTGCAGGACAGAACTACAAGGGGGGGCTGCCGTCACGAGGTCCGTCGGTGGCCGGCACAGCCAACGCCATGCCGGTCAGCGAGGGACCCTCCCGGGTAGGGTCATGGGACGGGCGCAGCCAGAGCGCGCCGCCGTCCTCTCCTACCCGTCCTCCTTTGGCGGGAGGGAGCGGCCAGAGGATCATCCTCCCGCTCCCTCTCGGCCGTCTCCCATGCCCTGTCGCTGCGGAGCATTACCAGCCTACCTATGACTTGAATGCATGTACGAAAAAGTATAAGATAATAACAAAATAACGCAGATAGAAAAAAAGCATAGCTTACTCAGAATAAATTATAGATTACTGTAACATGATCACGCCAATAAATGAATTTATTTTAATTCTACAACATAAAAATTGGTGTTCAAACATACTTGCATACAATCAGTACTGATGTAGGTATAAAATGCCATCTTTCCAGAGGCAAAAGCTTTCACGTTAGCTTCGTTAGAATATTGACGGATACCGAAAAGGTAGTTTACAAGAAAATGACACGAGTTCCATTAATTTTTAGCCGCACTATTAAACAATGATTAACAGAAAAAATCTAAATCGTTTTTTTTACACAATATAAATTTATTATTATATTTACACTTTATTTTATACGTGAAACAAAAACTTTTAAACACATTTTGCATACGGAGGACTGTGAGATATTGTGACATTATAAGGAGAACAGAAAACTTATATTTTATACATATAATAATGCATTTAAAATATAAAAAAAATATATATAAATAAATAATTTAACATTGCGTAATACACAGAAATACCCAATTCTATTATGATTAGAGAAGTAAACTCTTTGACAAAAGAAGTAAAAGGTCCAAATTAGCCGAAATTAAACGATACATATATTGTTTTAAACTTTCATGGTCACTTACATTATAATAATTTATGTTATTAACGGGATTGCTACCAATGGAGTAACCCGTGATCATGGCGCTTGCAACAGTGCCGAAATATCGGAAACTCGCTAAAAACAAGGTACATGGTAGCAATCCCGTAATTAACATAAATTACTATAAATATACAACTTGCAGTCTCAATTTAAGATTCTAATCAAAGCTTGAAGCATTTATAAAACTATGCGACGGCGACGCGACACGCAAAGGCAACTTGTCAATAGATTTCTTTGTAAACATTTCGTGTCCGCCGTTTTAAATTAAATACCTAAAAATTATGACGGAAAATAAAAATAGATTTAAAAACAGAATAGATAAGTACATGTCTTGATTAATAGTAGTTTTAAATAAAACATAAAAAACGGACAATCATCACACGGAACATATTTGAGCTTTAAAAATGGATATGAACTTAAGATTTTTTGTTTTAATCTAAGGTTATGTATGTAATTATTTGTGGAATTATACTGGAGGATTATTGAAGAGCTATGTTACTAAGTTAATGTTACAATCTATTGGTATTGCTGAGCTTAAAAATGAAACGAATGCTAGTTCAACTTGAATTCACTAATAAACAGATAGGGCCAAAATTTGGAATAAATTTTACTCTTTTATTCACGAATATTTTTTTAATTTAATTATTCGTAGAATTATTTGAATGACGAATAAATGTATTTATTCGGTATTTGATTGATAAAAATAAAATAAGGAATAAGTATTTGCATTTTATTAGTTTTTGACAGAAATTATGATTAATTAATTATTTTAATTATTTGTTTCTATTATTATTATTAAATTATGATTTTTTAATTATCCCTAATGTTCCTTTTCATCACTTCTCTTTCTTTAAACGCATTGTAACAGGGGGAGCTCAATCACACAGGTGGTTAGCGCGTTCGGCCAGCGATCGTATCGTAGAAGTTAAGCAACTTTCGCAATGGTCGGTCATTGGATGTGCGACCATAAACTTATTATCTCGAGCTCCTCCGTGTAGTGATTCGGAAGGCACGTTAAGCCGTTGGTCCCGGCTGCATCTGCCACCAATCCGCACAGAGCCCGCGTGGTAATGACACACGACACGGCCCAATCTTCATATATTAATAGACTGATGATGATGTTGACGAAGAATATCTGCTTGACTTTCACAGGTTTAATAATAATACTAATAATTTTATTTTCAATAAGTTGTCACATCATGAACACATTAATTAATCAAATTCTACAAGTTTTAAAACAATCGTAGATACATCACAGAGATAATAAAAGGTGTATTTTATTTTGACTAAACGTAACAATACTGTAGCATTGACTGTGGTTCCCACACTTGGAGAAACCTGTATCGTGGGCGCCCTAATATAATAAATAGGATGGCGTCACATTAATAATTTATATGTAATTATTATTTGTAACAAAACAAATGTAATGAAATCAATTATAAATACTAAATTAAAATCAATATTGTATGTGTCTGTATGTCTGTCTGTGTGCGTGTGTGTGTTGGTTGTGCGTACGTGCGTATGTGTGCATGTGTGTGTGTGTGTGTGTGTGCGTGCGTGTGTGTTAGAGTCTGTGTGTATGTGGAGAAGAATAGATATAGTTTGGGATAGGAATGTATCGATGAGATGTTGGTCTTTTTTGTGTGCTTAATAAGGTCCTCTGTTTGAAGGTAGGTCATGCACTTCAGCCTTTTAGTGAGCACGCGTTTATCATAGTGGCTTATTAAAAATGCGTCTTGCCTAAAACGCATTTTATTTTTTAGGCAAAACGCATTAAAAATGCGTATTGTCTAAAACGCGGGCTGCCCAGCCCGCGCACTAGACAGCCCACAGCCAATGACCAAAACGACTAGATTAACTAAAGAAACCATACGGATAATCTGGTCGTTACAGCCACTGGCCGTATTCGTAGTCGGGACTGTCTAGTGCACGAGGTACCTTACTGATGGAGATGACGGCAATGGTATATTGTAAGTAGCCCTTTCTTGTGCCGCTCCTCCTTTATACACTGAATTTCAGGTCATCAGTTGACAAAAACAATGTACATCAGTTTGTTTTATAGCTTAGAAGAATAAGAGTTTTCAAAAAGAATTAAAAATACTTAAAGATTAAAATCATTAATATTTTTTTCGTATAATATCGTGTATTATCCGTGAATAATTTATGCGTGAATGAATTATTCGCAAATAATTATATTAAGAATCTTTGTTTATATGAATAACAATTTATTTGAATAATGCTCAACTCTGCTAATAAATAATAGAAAAGTATGTTTTTTCACTCCAATATTTCGTTTGATTAGGTGTAAAAAGCATTTTCTAAATAAAAAAATCTTTAAACACATTTTTATTAAAACGTTAAATAGACAAGAAATCGCTAAGTAGATATTAAATTTGCAATTTTATGATACTTTATCTTATAGTTGCTACGAGCGTTGATAAGCAAAGTTGTAGAAACCATACTACGAAACGTGAGAAACACGTCCTAACCTACCACACGCGAAAACCACGCAGCAAAGCTTTTTCTATTAGCAGTATTTTTTTTTCTATTTCCGAAGTTATTTCTAGAATACAGGTAAAGTTTAAAATAGCCTTGGACAAATCGACCGGCGGACCTCCAAATTACACATAACAGTGGCGTGGCTGAGTGGGACAAAAACGCTCGAGGCCTCGAGAGCCGCGCTTCCTCGTACAGACATTAGACACAGAGTGCAAAGACCGGCGAATCATATCGGAAAGTGAACGAAAAGCCATACATCTATGACGAACAGCCAGCAAAAGGTTAAGATGAAAAAGCGCAATGCTCCGCAATTCTGATGTCCGTACTCCCACAGAAGGTTAAACAATTATTCTTTAATACAGACACGGTTTTATCTAATTTTTTTTACAATTAATATTTTACAAAAGCAACGAGATGTAACCGTTCCAGTAAAGCGTAACTTCTGTTGCAGATTCAAAAAATAATATAGGTAAAACCGTGATTGTAATCAACTTTTCAACAAAAATACGATACAGGAAAACTTTACGTTTATCTGGTTTTATGAAGTTAACATAAGTAAGATGATATTTTCGTTCATAAAAAAATAAAGTAAAATGTTCCGGTACCGGACATTTTTGTGTAAAGCAAGAATTTGCTATCAAACGCAATGTGATTCAATATGATGTGACTGGGAACACCGTCTTCAATAAGTAAATCACATCACGTGCTTATCACTTTAGCGTTTTTATAATGGCCACGCGACCATAATATTACTCATTGTCATATTCATCGTCAATGACGTCAAGAAGAACAATTAAAAAATAACTTGAAAGATAAGGAAGACAAAATTTAGATACTATGTGAAATTCTTACGATGACATTTCAGAGAATCATAATGAATCAGTGTGGCTATTATAAATACGAAAAAGCTTCAAGGAAGAATCTATGCTTCTACAAAAAGGCTAGCCATTTTAAAGATGGCAGGATCGTTAAATCAACTAATATTAAGGAAATCTTTCTTACAAACACTGCCCATAAACTAAAACCAAAAAATGACAGCATTTTGCCTTTTTGTAGAATAAGTCAAGAGTTATGGAAGATGAATTTAACATTGAAGTTAACTTACCATCACATGTTGCAGCCATAAATTTGCCGTTGGGTGAGAAGTCCACGAGAAGGACGGTGCCTGGGTGCCCTTTGAGATTCTTCACTAGCCATTGGTGGCTGTAATCCGTTTTCCCTTTCCATTGGGATCGCTTTTTGCTCTTCGCGCTTGTCCTAGTTTCAGTCGCTGCGGTTTCCGCAAAAGATTCTTCGGCCGGAGTTTCTGTAAAAATAAGATATATCACTCGATAAATAAAAATCATATGAAATCATCTGCCAGTATTTCATCATTATTATTTGCTAAGACAATCGAGGAACATAAAATACTATTTAGTCATCATTACATCTACCGCGGTTTATCACGAATCGGAAATACATAAACATCAGCCAAGTTTTATCTGAATACCATTAGTGCAAATTACAAATTCTACGAATAAGGTAATATTGGGATCCTATTGTTTTATGATTCAACCATCAATAATATTGAACGTTATATTAATAAGTGCCGTCTGTGACAGACACACCTTAGTCTACCAAGATCACATGGGATTCATCCCCTCTTTCCACCAAAACTGCAAAACAATGACGTATTTTAACAGTATATTTTAGATTTTTAGAAAGTTCACATGCAGTGTTTACATGAATTACACAATCCACCTTCACAGCGAATTATCACAAAGATTTTCGTTCTCACGCAAAAACCGCGTCTAATGTTATAAACTATTTTTATCAGTCACATTCGTGACAGGAAAATAATGAAGAGTAACAAGTTTTAATTACACCGGCTGTGTTACAACAGAAGCTGCTTATGTTACGTACCATTATGAATGCTTATGCTATGACCAATGAGGAATAATTTATTCGTGTTACGTGCCCTATCTCTTTACGTTACTATTACGTACGTTTATATATTCGTGTGTATTGGGAGCACGTGTTTTTACATACTTGTTTCTTTATCTTTAACGTTGTTTGATTCATTCATTTTTTTTTATTTATTTCTTCAATGGAAATTTTTAATTGTAACTATAAACACTCACGTATTTATTTACTCATTAACATCGTTAATCTACCGGTAAAAAGCATAACGATTTGTGTTTCATATTCTTGTGTCATTCATATTTTGAAGCACGGGTAAATAAGTGCATTATTTACAATAGTTCGTTTTAATTTTCTAATCTCAGTTTTATAATGAAATATTAGGCGAGAAAGTTAACAAAGCAACGACCATTCTGTACACAATAGGTTTGAGATTTGAGAAAGTAATTCTTCCAGTCAATCTCTACACAACATATTATTTTAATAAACATTGATACTTGGATTAAAATACTGATGTGATATATACAATAAAGTTACATTAAATTCGTAATCAAGAGTCCTTAATAGTCCTTACTCGCGATTACGAATTTCATATTACTATATACTTAGAAATGGAAAAGCCCCTGGAGAGGATGGTGTTACAACAGAACTCTTGAAAGCTGGAGGTAAACCCGTTCTGAGGGAGCTCCAAAAGCTTTTTAACACTGTCCTTTTCGAAGGGAGAACTCCGGAGGTGTGGAGTAGGAGTGTGGTCGTCTTGTTCTTTAAAAAGGGGGGCAAGACCCTACTTAAGAACTATCGATCCATATGCCTTCTAAGCCACGTCTATAAGCTGTTCTCAAGAGTAATCGCGAACCGTCTTGCGCGAAGACTTGATGACTTCCAACCACCGGAACAGGCTGGGTTTCGGAGCGGATACGGCACCATAGACCACATCCACACAGTACGGCAGATTATACAGAAGACTGAGGAATACAATCAGCCACTGTGCCTAGCATTTGTGAACTATGAGAAGGCCTTTGACTCGATTAAAATCTGGTCTGTCCTGGAGTCCCTGCAGCGTTGCCAAGTCGACTGGTGATACATCCAAGTGATAAGATGTCTCTACGAAGCCGCCACCATGTCTGTCCAAGTACAGAATCAGCAAACAAGCCCCATACCGTTGCATCGTGGAGTGAGACAAGGGGACGTTATTTCCCCGAAATTGTTCACTAATGCAATGGAGGATATGTTTAAGACGCTGAACTGGAAAGGACATGGCATCAACATCAATGGCGAACGCATCTCTCACTTGCGATTTGCAGACGACATCGTCATCATGGCAGAAACCCTGCAGGACCTACAAAAAATGCTGAATGACCTGGCTGAGTCTTCTATAAGCATCGGCCTACGGATGAACTTGGATAAAACCAAGGTCATGTTCAATGAACATGTACTACCGGTAGCGATTGTAATATACGGTGCCGCTCTCGAAGTTGTTCAAAAATATGTATACCTCGGGCAGACATTGCAGTTAGGTAGAAACAACTTTGAGGACGAGGTGAATAGAAGAATTCAGCTAGGTTGGGCAGCCTTTGGGAAGCTACGTCAAGTCCTGACATCGTCGATCCCACAGTGCCTAAAGACGAAAGTCTTCAATCAGTGCGTCCTACCTGTAATGACATACGGAGCCGAACGTGGACACTGGGACACTGACGGTACGGCTGGTCCACAGGTTCAAAGTCGCTCAGCGCGCTATGGAAAGGGCTATGCTCGGCGTTTCTCTGAAGGATCGCATCAGAAATGAGGTAATCCGACAGAGAACCAGAGTCATCGACATAGCCCACCGGATTACCAAGTTGAAGTGGCAGTGGGCTGGCCATATTCACCGAAGAACCGATAACCGTTGGGGTAGACGAGTTCTGGAGTGGAGACCGCGTCAAGGCAAATGTAGTGTAGGACGTCCTCAGGCACGATGGAGTGACGATTTGCGTAAGGTGGCTGGCAGGAGCTGAATGCGAGTAGCCCAAGATCGATCTGAGTGGCGTGCAATTGGAGAGGTCTATGTCCAGCAGTGGACTAGGATAGGCTGTTGATGATATACTTACCACGATAAAGTTAAAGAAGAAAATGTCATACAAAACTTAAACAAGATTTAAAAAAGTACCTAACAAATTTGTTATTACAATTTTGATATTTTATAGGAAATTACGATTTTACTCCGTTTCTTACTTAAAATTATAAAGACTCCTAAATAAGTACTGCTGATTGAGACAGATAAACACATCAATAATAGAAAAAACCCATCCACAGCATATAAATTACTAAAATATTTTAAAATTTAGATTCAGTACATTTCATTTGAAAAAAACAAAATTCTTTGAAATTTATTCCACATTTAACGTGTCTTCTGCCGGTAAATACTGAAATAGAAAACGTGTTAATAACGCTTTCTAACGGATATTAGCACCGCTACAATCTAGGTAAATTTTCAGTCCAACACTTACGATCTTTTAAAAAAATAAAGTGCTGAAACTCATTTCAAAAGTCACTTAAAAAGTTTTATTTTACTTGCTGCCAAAACTATAAAAATGCATGTCAATATTGTTTTTTTTTATATTTATTTATTTATAATCAGGCTACATAGGCCCATAGATAAATACCTTATAGTCTAACATATATACAGATATAAAACATTCAATGATACCACATGGTGATAGTGAAATTCAAAAGCTATAGCTATGCTACGCTCATTTGATTTATTATTCTAAAATAATTTGTACTTTAATAATTTTCTTCCTTTCCTAAAAACTTCGGGTGTGTTTATGGAATTAAATTAAAATGTTTTTCCCTCCAATACCAACACATATTTTTATGACCATATCAATAATTACAAAAAATAACATTTATATCATTGCAATAAACTGCTTATTTGTTATGAAAATTAATCAAGCGATTAAATTTTCATAGCAAATAACCCGTAAACAATAAGAGATATATCTTTATGAGTAACTTATTGTTTAACATATTTTGTACCTACTCATATATATTTTAATGTACTAAGACATCCGAAATGTAGATTATTGTTTATAATACTTAACCAACTTAAATTTTGCTTTACCAACTCAGATTATTTGATATTGGTTGTTTTTTGGGCTTTTGTAAAAACTTTTAGTTCACCTGGACTTCTTGTAACGTACCTTATTTAATTACTGAATATATGACGATTAATGCTCTGTAAGTACGAAATGAGAGATGAAGAGGAGCTCGATGGCGCAGGTGGTTAGCGCGTTCGGCTGCGATCGTTGAAGTTAAGCAACTTTCGCACTGGTCGGTCATTGGATGGGTGACCAAAAAACTTCTATCTCGAGTTCCTCCGTGCTTCGGAAGGCACGTTAAGCCGTTGGTCCTGGCTGCATCTGCAGTCGTTAGCACCCGCCAATCCGCACTGGGCCCGCGTGGTGGGTCATGGCCCAATCTCCCTATTCCATCCATAGGGAAGGCCTGTGCCCCAGCAGTGGGGACATTAATAGGCTGATGATGATGTACAAAATAATGGAATAAAAAGCTATATTTGTCAACTGATCGGGAACGTGTCGTGGCGTAGCAAACATAAGCTCGGTCACGAAAGTAAGTCGAGTTGAATATTATATTGGCGGCGTTCGAGTAAGAAAATGTTCATAGCCTCGCCTCGCAAGTGAAAGCTAGACGATGACGCGACGCAGTGCTAATTTTAAACATAATAATACTTACTTAATAAAGTAGGTATATAATTTATAAAATAAAAATAACGTAGAACAAAACTACTAATGTCAAATGCTGTATCTTTAAGGTATGGGAGTATTATTTTAGTATCTTTATCTCATGCTGCAAAATTCAATATTGTTTTTCAAGTTAAGGCTGTAACAAGCATTTATAATGAGCCCAAACGAAGCCATATTGCCGTCACTCACAGGTCCATCTGGCACACAGGTTTAATCATTTTGGAGTTACAGTCTTAAAATTTTCACTGCATAATCTTATCTTGTTAATCAAAGACGAAATTGTAAAGAATATTTGTAACGGGGCTCCCATACAGTTAACAAGGTGCGACAATAAAATTACCTTGCCCATCGTTGTTTAGAGCTCGTTGAGAAGATTAATAATATATTTTTATTTTTATAAATATTGGAAAACAAAGACATGAATAGCCACCAAAGTGAGTTTTTTTTAACAAATTATTGTACCGAAGATTTTTTAAGTGCCCATTCATTTGTTATGATACGTGTTAATAATGTATGGTCTATATTTTAATGATATTAAATATTGCTAAAGTGGATATTAAATATGTATAATATATTGATAAATCAGATCAATCCTAAATGTGCGAAAGCCTAACACGTAGGTACTTACTTACCCAGTTTTTTTAATGTTCTGTAAATCCTACAAGAGATCATTAAGATGATTTTACGTACTTACATGAGTGGATACATTTTTAAATTTTAATCATGCCTGTAACATTTAGGTACTTGGTGTACTTTAAAAGTTTACTAAATGGGGTATTAAGGAAGAGTCGTAAATTACATTACGACACAATTTTGTACCCTACGAGTGTATTAAGACTCGTAATGCACTCGTAGGGTACAAAATTACTTTTAAAGCATCTAAACTGCCAATAAACTTGCACAATGTATGCACTTGGCGTGCGTGATGCAGTTATAAGGTCTGGTCGGCGGTTTCGAGGCACAAACCGAGTGAGATTTAAATTCACTCGATAAAAATTTATGGTGTTCTGGAAATGGACGTGAAACTTTGCGTAGTAAGAAACTCGCTGACTTCGATTGGGCTAAAACTGCAATTTTACAATTTAAATACTATTCAGTAGATAGATCAAATGATAATATATGTAGCAATTTTCAATAATCGTTTAGAGTAACTTATCTGGATTTATCACGACTAGATTATATCAATGCTTTGTTGGCAGGCGGAGTTTCTAAAACGATAAAGATATAAAAAAACTTCAGCGCCAGTACGCTAAAGGTGCTATTCCTATCTCGGCTGCAGGTTGAACTTGCAGCGGCTGCAGCCCGGCTGCGGATGCAAGACTGGTTTTATGCATTTCTATAAAATATATTCCGACCCGGCCGGGTTCCTTGATACACGTGAAGTTGATGTTATTTACTTGTTGATTCCTATTTTAACTTTAATTTATCTACAAGGTATTCAAGACTGTAGCATCAGGGAAACAACAATAGGCAAACAAAATTTATAGGAGACGCTCACGTCTCAACTTGGAATCATACATACTTTCAAACCCTAGCTACAGTTGGTCCGCCATACTTAAATTGGTCGATCTGAACTGAAGTTAACTGTTTGGCTGAGCATTGGGATGTTCTAGGAATAAGATTGCTTACTGCGCAGCGCACCTGTATAGGCGTATGGCCAACTTCAGACAGACTGAGATGTGTTGAACAAACTTTATTTCTTTATCTTCATTGCAAGCATAAAATGTGCAACGAAAATATTATAGCAGCACGTTTTAATAACGCGGGGGCTATATTTGGCATTGTTTAGGTCTGTTGTTATAGTGTGAAAAAACAACATAACAAAACAAGTAAAATTTGCTACGCCATTCCCAACCATAATAGTTGAAATTACCATATAAACTGGACAAGAATTTTATTTATGGTGAAAAATAATGCAACTGGCAAAAAAGTGTGTGTTAAAAACAAGCTTTAGGAAAAATAAAATTTACCTCTACTTAGTAGCTACTGATAGTGATTTATTAGCCATAATATTGATTATGTTACGTAAAATAGAAAAACCTGTTTAATTTAAAGAACAGAAACAAAAACATTATTCCATGAACATGATTATAGTAAAATAAAATATGTAATTGCAAAAAAAAATTTTTTTTCACTTCCTTTAATGAAAACAATTATGAAACAATACAATGTATAATAGTGCTAACCCTTGTAAAAGTATCATAAATTAAGTACACAATAAATAAATAAATAACAAAACAAATATGAAATTTGAAACTTACATTTGCAAGGAAATAATCAGTTTTGTTCTTTATTACAAAAATGTTACTTTTATATGGGTACTTCAACCACTGCAAATACAAAGTCACTCCATGAACCTTGTAAATTATGCATACAAAGTTTACCTTTTGTCCCCATAAGAAGTACATACACTAGGCAATTTTCTCATTGTTTTATATCAGACAATTATTCTGCCTGTGCCTCTTTTATAGCACATATTCAATCCATACTAAAAGTTTGTAAACAAAACAAAATAGAACACATGTATATGGTAAACATACAAGACCTGGTCGACTTTAAGTATGTCATTTATTTTGCTATGAATCATATATTTTATTAAATCTATAATTGTGTTGGTGCCACACATTGTAGATTATTAAATTATTTAAATGTTTAAACAGCTGCAATCAGTTTAAATTGGAATTTATGTTACAGAAAGTTATTTCATAAATGTCATGTTTATACTCAAAGAAAACAAAATAACAAAATTTATGCCAAACAAAATAAACAATTTAATTTAAGGTGTGTTTGTTTGTTTTTAATAGATTTCATTCAGCGATAAGAATTTTTAGTCAGCCATACATGGTTAACACAAAATGAAAAATTTTCTGAATCAATTTTGAATTGTAAATAAAGCAGGAGTTTTAAAATTTATTATAGACATTTAACAGTGTTGAATAACTTGACTTGTGGCTGCCTGCACATGCAACTATATGGGTAACTATATAGGAAGCTGCTTAAAATTATGAATGTGTTAAGATAATGTATGTGTTCAGAACAGCAACTTCACTACGGTACAAAAAGCCTGGAAGTTTATTTTATTTTATTCAAGTTTGATCTTTGATTATTGAAGTTAGACCTTTGATTATTTACTCATATACACTATGATTTACCACCACTGTTTACTGTTTTTTTTATCAAATATTTAAAATTTAATTTATTGTTTAATTAATTTAGCTTATAATTTAAAACTGTTACCTTTTTGACAGGACTTGTAACTTAAAAATGTGCAGTACTAACGTTTTTTGGTACTTAAATATGTTACAAACAAAAAAATTCTACCTACCTACATCCAAACTTTTGTATTGACAGTATTACAGTTGTTATAACTAGGACTTCTATTAGTGTGAATAGTTTGTCAGGTTCTAATTATTAACGTTTTTGTTGGTCAATTTTGTTAACAGTTAAAACATTCACATTCATTAGATAGTTACGTATCAAAATCCATACAAAATCAAAAGATCAATGTACTGCACTATAGAACTAAAGTAGGAAGGAAGGATCACATGGTTGCCGGCTTGAGCGAGGGAATGCGATATGCGATGCACCGCGCTTCGCGGCAAAATGCTAACCCACGTGCCAAGACCGCAAAGGCAAAAATAAATCTTTTTAGATAGTGTCTATGACTACAATACTAATAGTAAATGCAAAATAGATCAAGAGTAAAATTACCTTTTACGCTCTCCGTTTCGCATACTTGTGCTTCCTTTTTCTTAATTCCGAAGATTGTCTTGATTAAAAAGTGTAGTATTATACATGTTAGCAGTGCTACAATAGCTAAAAAGAACACGTTTGTGTTCAAACCGGCTGCAATAACGCTCATTTTCACTCAATTATTTTCAATAAAAATAGTTTTAGTTAGGTACACCAACCAATCAAGGTATTAAATCTGCGATGACACGCTCTCACAACACAAGAACACACAATGAATAAACTGACTGACTGAACTGAACTGAATGAGTTGATTCGTATTCGTTTATTGAATGAAGCAAAATACCTACCGCTCGGCCGCGCAAGCATTTACCAGAATGTATGATTTTAACGAATCCCACAAAATTTAATTCTTATTACAAAGGTTTAGAGTTTAAATTAAGCTTCGTTTATGATCTTACAACTGAATGATGACGAGGAGAAGAGAGCGATCATTTTCGAGAATCCTTTTATGGTATATCCATTTTCCACTTATTACACGTTGGTCACGTTGTGTTTCAAAGTTATTGCAGTAAAATAAATGTGTGGCGCTTTTGAATATTGTGTGTAAATTAAGTTGATAGATAGGATCATTCATTTGCACAAAACCACAGCCTTAATTTGAGTTGAATTTCCGTTCTTATATGATTACTTCAACGATATTAAATACCCTAGATACACCACGAGCGCTCAAAATATGTCCCAATCAAGAAGTGCTTGTACTCCACTAAAGCACTTCCTGGTTCACAGTCACGCGTAGAGATGGGTCGAGGGTAAAAACCCAAATGGGCAAAAAGGGCATATACTGGGCAAATAGGGATTTATCTCCAAATAATGTCCAGTCGTTGGGCAAAAACTCAAAAGCTAAAAGATACTGTCACAAAAATGAGTTTTAAATATAATTCCTCAGTAAAGCTTACCCACGTTTCAAATGTAAGCATTGAACGAGTTGTAGCAAATAGCTAGTTGATATTAATAAAAATGAGTTTGTTCATGTCATTCTTAACGTGAGAAAGCTAAATGTTAGGTTATATATAACACAAATAAAACTCATAAGCTTTATATAACATGTTTAAGTCAGATTTATGGGGTTATTAATAAACAATTTACTCACATTTTCATCTGGGTTCTTCATATAAAAATCAAAAGTGTTCATTTCAAGTCATTAACATTAAAATCAGTCGTTATACTTACATAACTAACTCGCATTTTTTCAACATTAAATTATCACAATAAAATCAATCTAAAAGTATGAGTCACATAACAATCAAACATAATCATAAAACAAAGTTTAAACCACTACTTTCAAAGCTTAAACAAATTGTAAATATTATAAAGTTTAGTTAAATAAATTACACTTATTCAAAATCATAATTTTAATGTAATTGAAAATAATTCATTTTTTTCTGTAATAACTTTCTTTTCTTTGCTGTTACTACTATTTTACTATTCCCTTAATAACTTATCGTTAAATCACTGATTAATTATTATCATAACCAATCTTTCAGTTAGTCTATTACGATCGGAGTTAAACGCAACCTTTCATCAATCACTATCGCCAAAGTTATTAAAATTATCAACTTGAATAAATTCAAATATTTGATCCTATCTAGAAGATGTCGACGCATCATTGTTAAATGTGATATCGCTAGATACGCTGGTATTCATTATAACAGCATCTTCATCCAAAACTTCCTCAGATATAAAATTATCAATATCGCAGTCATCCGATGAACTTGCGATAGTAAAATCTTCCTTATGTATTAATCTAGATAATTTTGGCAGCCCTTTCCGTTGTGAGACGGTTCCTCTTAGCATTATGTATAAAACCATGCGCACTGAATGAAAGTTTTGTAGCGGGTAAAGTGCAGGGCGCAGTCAATATTCGAAGAGCTACTTTACTTAGCGCAGTTGACCCGCAAACTCCTTTCCACTGTTTTCCACACGAATTGTTTGCCCCATAAACCCTCTTTCCCTTTAAACTTAGCCAAATCAGCTAGACAGTCAATATTTAGGTGATTTGCGATATCGTAAATAAATTCCATCGCTTCCCCTTGTTCGATGCCTTGTGTTTGAGGGTCTAGCATATAAGCCGCATAGTGAATTGGTTTTTTAATCTGCGACGTCCTATTATCTACGACAGCTGACAATGTATCTTTGTCAGAGTCTTCCAATATTGTTATTGTGGGTAAAACAAGCTGTATTTTTGATTTTATATCTTCGAGGATCATGAAAACTTTATTCATATTGTAATCGTTTCCTTCTATTTTAAATATGCTTTCTGTAATGGGCATCAAAATATCCACACTTTGTTTAACCATGGTCCAAAAATTTTCATCAAGAATTTTAGCTTTAACCTCTGTTGATATTTGAATATTTTCATGTACCGCTAAAGCTTGTACGGCTACTTTGTTGGTTTGTACACTTTTAAATGCAGAAACATGGCTGCCCCATCTTGTTTTGCATGGCAATTTAAGGTTCTCGCCGTTGATGTTCTTATCTTTTCTTATTTTTTCCAAGAGTGCACTTTGAATTTGAGTTGTTTTAATAGATTTGATAACATCATTTGCCATATCGATGCAAGCTTTAATAACAGAGAGTTTCATGACGTCTTCACATAATAAATTACTTCAAGCCAAAGATACTTTGCTTTTAAAATCCGGAACGCTGTCTATAATTTTTTTGAATTATCTCTAATAAGAACAACAAATTTCGTCTCTCCGTGGTTCTTGAGAACATTCTCTACCTCAGAAGCAAGATATTCACTAGTATGACGATTATATTATGTGTTTACACTTTTTATAAACACAATCTCAGGTTTAGATAGTAGAAAATTAATTATTCCTTCCATTTCGGATATTGGTCCACGCATCGCACTGCAAATGAAGAAAAGGAGCTTTTGTTAAATCTTTATTCAACTCTTTGTTCATTTCGTTATAAAGTTTGTGTAAATATTTTGTTGCTAGGCTCTTTCTAGTCGGTGGTTTAAAATTGAGTTTTTCATAAAACGATTTCCACAGTGGATGTTCTACCAACGACATTGGTGATCCAGAAACAAACAAAGCTTTTGCAAACAGTTCCGAAAAAGCCTCAGTTTGGCGGGTTATGGCCTTGCCAAGCCGCGAAGCACACTGCGGCATGGCCGCCCAGCCCCCGTAGCATGAGCACCACAATTTACATTATATCACGTTTTTTTGCGTCTAACTGTTAAATTCCATAGAAATTTAACAATTGAGCGTGATAAAAACGCGCTATATATCATATCGCAGTGCTCGTGCTAGGGGGGCTGGTATGCGGGTGTGCTGCGCGGGTTGCATATGGTTGCATTTCAGTGAATCTCAACGGCTTTGTACAAATTTCTGCGGAACGTGGCGGCGACACAGACGCGCGGTAATAGCCGGCGACACGTACCGCTTGGCAATTATTGCCGGCGGTTAGTGCCAACGTCATTGTGTGTAGGCTAGACTAAGACTTGAACAATTTGTGTTCCACTGTAATGATGTATTAACATTAAGTATAACTGATTACAATGGTGTCGGATCAGGCATGATTCTCTAAACTTATGACTAAATTTAACATCAGTGGTGTTGATTCTGGCACGATTCTCTAAACCTAAACTTAAATTTGACAACAGTGGTGTCGATTCTAGCATGATTCTCTAAACCTAAACTTAAATTTGACAGCAGTATATCCTTGTCATTCTCTATACAGAATGAAAAGGAGAAACTTATGATAAATTTAGTGTTAAGTTTAGAGAATCACGCCAGAATTGGCACCAGTGTAGCCTTGTCATTCTCTATACGGAATGAAAAGGATAGAAAGATTATAAATTTAGTTTTAAGTTTAGAGAATCACGCCAGAATTGACACCAGTGTCTCATTTTCATTCTATATGAAAAAAATGACAAGGATAAAGTTTGTCTATAAAGTCGTGACATGAATGTTTGAGGAACTAACATTATTCATGTGTCTGGCAACATAAAACTTATGTACATCAGCTGTCTTCGAGTTTCAGTTGTGGAACAGTTTTCCTTTTGTATTTTTTATCGTTTGGATTAAACTGTAATAAATTAAGACGAAACTACGCAGAAAGGTATAAAAATGAGTAAAGTAAATCGGCATGGCACGCGGGAAGTGATTTTTAAAGTTTTCCAGCGATGTTTCGAAGACTATAAGCTGGACGAATTTTGTGGGATTTGGATGATGTTTATGGGCGAACACCATCTATGACGGGTATGTAATCGTGTAACTATTTGTTTGTAATCTGCCTGAAGTTACAAATTCTCTCAATTTACGATTTCGAGACCAAAATAGGCATTGTTAGATTGACATTGTAAATAGGTAATATTGTAGTACGACCATTTCTTTTGATACGTTATTATGGTTCAACTCGGTCAGGTTTTCTACCAATTTTGAATTAATTGCTTCATGTCAATAAGTTATTGTTTCTATTCCGTTACATATTTTTTACTTTTTGTTTTGGTCAATTTGTCCCTGTTGGGACGGGCAAAGGATTCTGAGTCCATACCCCGTCTGTTAACTTTTCTTTTTTAAAGTGTTTTGATTGTAACTTTTACAAATTTGGATAAAGGAATGTAGGTGTCTTTATTTTGTAAAAGTTTTCTCAAGTCGCGCGGGATGGTTTCTTCGCCAAAAGTACTTCGAAGGTCTTGAAGCAGCAAATTTCTCTGTACTTGAAATGAACCGCAAAAGAAAAATATATGGTTCAAGGACTGATTATCTACATATGTTGCAGAAGTTACAAACAGGTGAGCTGACCATCTTGATCCGGTACAGGTGATCTTTAAAAAGGCAATGACCTATTCTAAGTCTGCATATAGTAGTATAAAAATCTCTTGTTCTGTACTGTCCTTTATCAAACCATTTTCCTTTCTCTTGCAGAGATATCTTCCAGTGGTCGAGCCATTGGGTCTTGATTTCTTTTTTGAGGTTAGGCATGAGATCTGTATATGGTACAGCTATATCTCTCACAGCACATCTGTCGTTTCTCACTACAGCAGTACATAGGGCATCAGCATCTTCATTTCCTTGAACTCCGATGTGTGAAGGCGTCCAAAAAAAGGCCACTTTAATATTCTTCTGCTGTAAGTTTCCTAATTTTATTCTTATCAATTCTGTGATATAATTTGTGTCAGCTCTGTAGGTGTGGTTCTGCAATGCATATAGCACACTTTGACTATCTGTTTTTTTCTTTTTTTTGAGGAAAATCAGAGAGTACAGTTAAGCGGATAGTCAAAGGTTTTGAGAATGATGGAAAGTTTGAAACTCCTGGGAAAACAGGCAAGGCCGACCAAAGAAAGAAATGGTGACATAAAGAACCATGGCCAGATGCTTTTAGTGAAGATACCTATCACTAATTTTACTAACTGCACATTTACAAATAGGCTAGTTGACCCTTTTTGGAAAAAGGTTTTAAGTGGTTCATAAATGTTCTATTAGACCGAAAAAAAATGTATTGTATTTTTTTGAGACCTAGAAAGCTACAAATCTTTAATTTTAAAATAGACTTTTCATGGACATACAAAAACGCTGTCGGCCATTTTAGTCTATAGATTATCTATGTTATGACGTCGACGGTAGTAAATAAAAACTCGTAAGCACATAGAAAATAACCTATCGGAGTTTATAATAAAAAAAACATGATTTCTAATAAATACCACGAAAAATATAGTAATTATCATTATTGTATTGTACGAGAATGTTAAAACACATCCTTGAAGACTCCAGGAAAGTTGTGGATTAAAGTGCCGAAAGAAATTAACCTACGCAATATCTGGTTAGAACTGCAACTTTATCGACAAATAGTAAAATTTATTTTTGCGAAGATCACTTTGATGTAGTACTCATTGAATAATATTTTAAGTCTCTTCATTTATTATCAGTTTTATTACAAGTTTTAAAATTATGTATGAATGACATTTAGTTGTTTACTAAAAGAGACGTCACAATCATGGCGGATGTGGCGAACAGCGTTTTAAGTGTTTAAAAAGTATAGACTAAAAATATTTTTTTTAAATTAATTTTCTACAGCAGTCTTCTGCTTTTATGAAGTAAAATTGATATATTTAGGTTCCTTAGACCAAATACTTTAGGAAATAAACATTTATTTAATACAATTCGCATGAGTCAACTAGCCTATTGTTTCTCTAAATAAACTTTTTACATACTATAAAATGATTTTAGTATTATTTTCTTAACAAGCGTGTTAAAAAACGTCGTATGATACTTGTGTGTATTGATGATTACCTAACGGCTCTGGTCTCAATGGCACCTCAGCGGTAATCACCAACATTACACACTTTTACACTATAAAATACTATTTTATCTATAATAATTTTATTCTGATTCAATTAAATATGCTTGGCTAAACTTTTTATAAGCATAGGTACCTACTATATATAAAACAGAAACAAAATACGACTGTATAGTGTGTCTTATTAATTACCTATTTTACTTGAATGAACTGCTAGTATCAAAATCATTTTGGTCAGACTGTATAGGGTTGCTACATGCATACTAGTGGCGCCATCATTTAATGTCACGACTTTATAGACAAACTGTACGTCACTCCGTTCCGCGCCCGCGCACTCGCTTACATCGTATAACCATAATCTTTACGTGCGGAATACCAAACAAGTGGAATTCGTCAACAATAAACTGTGAATTTCTTATATGACTGTGTGTGCTGTTCATCTAGCTTGAAGAATACGCGGACCACAAGCTTCCGGCAAAGGTTTCAAACGTGAGTACGTTACGCTATTAGCAAACCCATTCGTAATTGTGTATTTATCGTAATCGTAAATCGTTTTAATTACTTATATCGGCTGCCCCCAATATGTATTTGCAATAACAATTCATATTTATTTATTGTAACTTTATACATCTTTATCCTAATAATGTAATGGAAGGTGACTTCAGAAGTATATCTGAAGTCATTTTTCAACTTGACGACTCCGTATATATCAATACAGGGAGAAAAAATCAGCCCTTGCTGAGTTTCTTGTCGGTTCTTCTTAGTACAAGGTCTCCCGCCGTAGTTTTGCGAACCGATGGCGTAGCTTCTTGACCTTCACAAGTGCTTGTAACAGCTTTTCATTTCATTTCATTTCATATAATTTGGTAAAAGTTTTTTAAAACTGTACAAACACGGTATAATAACATTCATTGCAGGCGCCTTAGATCTAGTCCATCTAGTATCTCTATTCTAGTCATTGCTGTTCATAGGTCCCTGCAGTCTTATGCAGCTCTGTATCATCATCATGGGCGGCGTTAGATTGCTGTATTTTTTCGTCACAGTGCGCCCGCTTCAATGGTAATTTGCGCCGTTTTTTAGAGTATGCGCACCGTTAAGCGGGCCACGTACCGGGCATCCGTCGCGGAGATTCGCTTCATATTCCGTCACCCGCGAGACAGGCACCGCGCGCCGCCCGCGCAGCGTGAGGCGAGTCTATGAAACAAACACACCGAGCGGACGCTCGCTTAACGGTGCGCACGCCCTTAGCTATGCACACCTGTAGCACGGTAATATTATCTATACAGTATTGTGACTCCGCCCTGTCCTTGAAAATAAATGCCTACGACCGAGCGCTGCGTTGGCACGCGGTAGGGCCGCCAGCCTACAGTATTTTATGTAGTTTTGTTTTTAACGCGACGGCGAGTGTAGGTAGATTACTCGTTTGTCTCTTTTTTCATCCTAACCACTTATTTATATATTATTCCAGATATTTTGCCCGATGTAAAATCCGAAATACCTAAATATTATAAACAAATAACGTACTAGTAGATAGGTATATAAAAAAAAATGGTTGCCTGTAAAGTCGGTTTTACGGGCGAAGATTTTACGTGACAACGTCTTTTTCTCGGTAGAATATTTATTGATATGAATATAATTAAATTGCACAATAGGAACAAGGAATTGAATGAAAATAAGAATTGCACAAATTTTAACTATAGAAATATATTTTGTTTACTAAAACATTGTACATGTAAACTTAAACTCATCGTAACGTTACCGAGCGTTACACTTTTTCATAAGTGACTCCCAGCCGCAACCTAATTTAAGACGTTGTCACGTCAAAATATTCTATAAAGGTAAGACACCTTTCTAATATTTCAGGTAATTTAAAAAATGATATCTCTGGGTGTGTTATTGAAAAGTTCAAGCAACCAAAAACAGCAATTGTGCTGTTGTACGATATTGATCGTCGTTTGTTCTTTTCCATACTAAATTATGTAGCTATCTACATAATTAAATCAAATATTTACAATACAAAACGCACGTTTATGCACGGCTAACTGCATAAAAAACAATTCAGACCGTTCGGTCGTCGTTGCGGCGCGCATTCGCGACTGGGTACCCACCGAGAGCACATCGAACTCGAGTGGCGTAGGTATGACTCGCTTTCCGACCGTTTGTATGAAGATAGAATACTGTATGATATTATTACCGTGCCTGTAGTACGTCTATAGACGTACTATAGGTACAAACTGGTATTTTATTACCAATAGGCTAGTTGATCCTTTTTGGAAAAAGGTTTTAAATGGTTAATAATTGTTCTATTAGACCGAAAAAAAATGTATTGTATTTTTTTGAGACCTAAAAAGCTACAAATCTTTAATTTTAAAATAGATTTTTCATGGACATACAAAAACGCTGTCAGCCATTTTAGTCTATAGATTATCTATGCTATGACGTTAACTGCAGTAAACAAAAACTCGTAAGCACGTAGAAAATAACATAACTGACTTTATAATAAAAAAACATGATTTCTAATAAATACCACGAAAAATAAATTAATTATCATTATTGTATTGTACGAGAATATAAAAAAACTTCCTTGAAGACTCTAGGAAAGTTGTGGATTAAAGTGCCGAAAGAAATTAACCTATGCAACTTTATTACACTTATTCATATGATGTATCAGTTTTATGTTTATTACTACATTGTAATACTAAATACACTGTACTTACATAGATGCCTTGTCGTTTCTCTGCTCCGCAGAGCAGAAATCGGGGCTTAGTGCAATAAATTCACCAACCATCAATGCGTCAATTCTTGGCAGATTTGTGCTTTCTGTTTCCACAAAATCCATAATTAGTTTTTTCAAAAAAAAAACAGTAAACGGAAACTTTTCTAAAGTTAAAAGTGTTTTAAGATAAATTGAGTCATACGAAAGAATCCACCCACAGTAACACGCGAATGACATTTAGTTGTTTACCATAAGAGACGTCAAAATCATGGCGGATGTGGCGAACAGCGTTTTTAGTGTTTAAAAAATATAGACTAAAAAATATTTTTTAAAATTAAATTTCTACAGCAATCTTCTGCTTTTATGAAGTGAAATCGATATATTTAGGTTCCTTGGACCAAATACTTTAAGAAATAAACATTTATTTAATACAATTCGACATGAGTCAACTAGCCTATTAAAAATATTTAAAAAGTACGTCCATGGCGCAGGCACTAACGATTTCATTCATAAACTTATTAAACAAGCGGTTTCCTTACGAGCTTAAATATTAATTTATTTATTGTCCCAGGTCAGTTTGTGCTAACTGCTTACGAATATAAAAATAACAGCAAAAAACGGAACTAAAAGCTATTGAAAAGCTATTCGGCTGCCACATACTTTTTTATATATATTTTTGGGCATCAGTAAAAAATACACTGTTTAAGAATTTACAAAATATGATTGCGTAGCAAGCAATCGTAGAATTTTACGAGTACCTATTTAAGGAAGGAGTCCTATTGTTTATAAAGAGTACATTGCGGGAAATAGGTAAAATAACATTTATGATTTGCACATCATGGTGAAAAATGTCATCATGACATAGGATTCAAAATAAAAGGGAATAAATTTTCGTGAAATTCACTGTGTAAAATTTATCTTACTCTTCAAAAATATGCCAGGCGGTCGCAGCAGAAGGTAAGAAAATAAGTTCTAAGTTTGATATCGCCACGCAACTTACGTCAAACGTTGATTGATTCATTATGGATCATCATATACGTAATGTATATTGTGATCACGGGCCTTGATTGTGATAAATAGAATTGAGAATCTCTGAAAAAAGACCTTTTTTCAGGTTCGTACTCTCGTGTAAATAAATAGCATGCGTTCATTCAAACGTATTAATGTTTTCGCGCAAAGTTGGCGTTCCATTTTTTGACGTCGACCACAGGAAAACCAATCATTTACAATATATAAGTGTAACCGCGTATCCAGAAACTTTTTATTGCTTTATTAAAACATATTTAATAATGGGCTTTAAAGGTTTAGTTTTCCTTGTCTTCAATATCAGAATGAAAAAAGCACATTTCGTTCGTGCACGCTACATTCGCGCGAAGTCTACCTTTGCCGTTTCCAATGACAGAATAAAAAAAGAACACTGATTTTCTTTCTCACTTACTCATAAGTAAGCGGAAAGATATGAGACAAGGCTAACTATATTCTTTATTTGAAAATTTCTAGAAGCAGTTCAATGTCATTTTGACTATGTCAAGTCAGTCAAATCAATCGTCAAAAGCCAGTGTCACTCCAATCGAATTGAATTTTAGTCGCGAAAGTCGGTCTGAATAATAAAAGCTTTGTAAAACAATTGCGAAAATGCCTCGTCGTGGACGTTCAGCGAGTCCTCCACCGGCGCCGCGAAGGTAGGGAAATGATATATTACATCAGCTGTTTTTTGTTTCTGTGATATTTAGGGTCATACATTTTATAACCTCGAAAATTTCAGAGCTGCGCCTCGGCCCAGCAATGTGCCTGCACATGCTCCTCCTGCGACACCAGCTCCGATGACCGCCCAACCTCAGCAGCCTTCACTATTTGGCCAGATGGCTGCAACAGCTGGTGGAGTGGCCGTAGGATCTGCAGTGGTGCGTAATTACTATTATTACGTAATGAAAAACAATGACTTGTCAATATATCTGTATTATCTTAATTAAATCTTATATTGTTAAAAATATCATTGCTTAGAAATTGCTGTAATAATGTGAAATCATGTTGTAAATTCTATGATGGCTTGCAGCCAAGATATTGAAAGAAGTCATGTGTTATAGCAAGATAGGATATCTATTCTGTTATCTACTTAAAAACATGTTTACATTATTCTGCACTGCATCATAAAACAGATGATGACAGTCTAAAGAAAATGAATTTAATCTGTTTGTTACATTGTCAAAATATATACTTATTTTTTGGTAATTAACCAAAAAATTACTAAGAATAAGAGCATCAAAGTTAAGGAGTGAGGGTTTGTGAAGTCAGTTCTAAATAAAATTTGTACAATAATGTGACTTCATGCAACAATTCAAATTTTTGTAATATTTAAATTATATGAATAAGAAACAAATACATGTTCAATACTTTATGATAATGTACCAGATAGATGAAGAAGAAAAAGTTAGTAATCATCCCTATTGGCTAAGCTGTTTGGTGGTGTGGTGACATTCTACTAACATCTCTTGAATAAACTTTTATAATTTAGAACATTTTAGGATATAAATTATTTTGATATATTAGTCAGTTATATATAATTTTATAGGGCAGTTATTGGGTGGGCAAATTTTACTATATTTTTTGGATAGCTTGGACGCAACAATTTATTGTTACTTGTTATTTTATCAATATCATAGCTATTAACATACAAAATTATAGCTATTAATGGGTTTGTTACCATGTACTTTGTTTTTTATGAGTTTTTATGAGATATTTCGGCACTGTTGCAAGTGCCATGATCACGGAGTAACTTAAGGTGGTGTTTATTGGCCAAACAAAGCAGAAAATAGTGTGTCAAATGAAAGAACACATAAAAGCAGTCAGAAACAATGATACACAAAAATCAAATATCATGGAAAATTTAATTTATTCGGGCCCTGATTACTGGATTGAGCTTCATAATCCACAAATTATCTCGATAAAACTCCATTACATACTAATATTGGTCAGGGAAGCAATTGAAATAAACAAACAAGAATTTAAATCATGAGGATGGATTTAAATTATCAAGGGTCTGGAATCCAGTGGTTCGTATGTGCCAAAAACCATAAAAATAAAATAAAATGACATTCCCGATCTGATGCTGTGAGTATTGTGTATCGGAAACAGGTGCGAGTGAATATTGAGAATATTACAAGTGGTAGGAGTATCGAACACAATATAAGACTACGTCAGAAGGTAGAGCGATATGTCTGCCAATAACATCAGTCACCCACAATTACTTCAGTTACTCCATGATCATGGTGCTTGCGCAATGCTGGATATTCATCAAAAAACAAGATGCATGGTAACAATCCCGCTAGAGGCTATAAAATCATGGTATCTTTTTTCAGCTAATATTTTTAGCTATTAAATTTAGGAATTATTTAAATATAATCTATGTAATGCATATTTTTTAAATTATTCCAGAAAAAATTAATGAATTATTGATTTTATATATTTATTTTGTTTTTGACAAGGGTTTTTGTTTCTTTGTTTTCAGGGTCATGTGGCTGGTAGTGCTCTCACAGGAATGTTTAGTGGAGGCAGCAGTGAGCCCGCACCACAGCAGCAGGCTCCGACCCCTGCTCCAGCTGCATACAATCAGACCCAACAGCCCCAGGGACCATGCGCTTGGGAGATTAAGCAATTCATCGAGTGCGCCCAACAGCAGCATGACCTTACTCTATGCGAGGGTTTCAATGAGGCATTGCGCCAATGCAAACTGAACAACCACCTATAGATTAAAACTAGAAGAAGCTGCGATACAATGTTTCCAATAACTTAGTTCTATGGTTTTTTGCAATATATTTAGAGATATCACAGTACATTGACTACCTCATCAAGGAAAGTGTCCATTTCAATTGCAAAATATTACAGCTTCCCATTAGAAAAACTTACTTAGAGGCAGATTTTTCGATTCTTGGAAGTTCTTAATCAATAAAAAGAAATGTCATCTTCAAATCCAAAGATCACATTTAAATATAGATATACCTTAAGAAGCTTTCATTGGAATAATATAATGCCAATGGCATTATACCAAGACTTGAAAAAAAACGTTTTAGTTGATAAAATGAATGTAGGTAATTAAAGAATTTGTAGAGAACATTTTGTTATTATTGTTTTTTCATTTAAGATATGCATTGTTATGATATATAAACATTGCTTTACGTAATTGTTAGTGACAAAATTATACATATATATTTAAGACAATAATAAAAATCAACCAAACCATTTGGTCTTTTTTTTATCTACATAATTATTTTTAACACTTGTCTAATGACTGTATTTCTTCTGGCAATAGCTTTGTTTATTGCATAATAATTACTGAATTCATGGCCAATGTTTCAGAATGAAGATGCTTTGCTTTGTTTTTTTTTTTAGTTTAATAACGGCTGAAGAGTAGTTTTTTCTATTGCTAAGAAAATGACGGCTGCCTTACAGGTAGGTGGGGTTGAGACTGGCTTTTATACAAACCCAATAAGTTTATTTAATTGTTCTTTCACATTTTAACCTAGATAAAATATTTAAAAGCATTAAACTGCTAGATTTATAAGCGGTTTCGAATCCTGTATTCCTGTGTGATGTCTGGACCGAGTGGATTTAGGTATTGAACTTTTCTTTATATTTAGATATTCACATAAAAACACTACGCTTGGAAATACCTAAGAGTTCCGTTAAATTTCATGAGTTGATGAAAGTCATTCCAATCTATTGAGAAACGAAATCTGCAATTTGGCAAATCCTGCAAAGCCATTGTGGTTAAAAAATCTGATCACAAGCGTAGAGCCCTGATGCCTCGCAAACGCAATGTGCAATTGTTGCAAGAATACGGATGATAAAAGGTAGGATAGGATGTTTTGTATGGACTGACTTCGTGAGTTTTTTTTTATGTTAAAAGGGCTGCAAACACGTGTATGGCCCGCCTGATGGTAAGCGGCCACCATAGCCTATAGACGCTTGCCATACCAAAAATATTTCTTGCACCATTATCTACCCTGACCCAACCCTCTATCCCGTGGAGCTCGCAACCTTGTCGACAGAAACAACATCACTAAAAGGTAGTGGTGTAGTAGTGTTATTTTACTGTGGTCTTCTGTAAGGTTACTTCCACAGAAGGGCGCTTCTATAGGGATGATGACTACCTACTTTTTTTTCTTCGTTTATCAGGTAGATTATCAAAAAGTATTGGACACGTATTTTTTCTTTTTTCACATAATATAAAAAACATTGCAGAGATATATTGATTTGAAAAGTCGCATGACGTCACGTTTTGGTACACTTTGTACAAGTGAAAATTCACTAAAATGTGACGTCACGAGCCCCTACTCCCAAACTTTGACGCGCTATATTTTGTCATTTTTTGGTTGATTGCCCAAAGAAATAATACGTGTCCATTATTTTTTGATAATAATCTAACTGACCGACTAAATAGAATTTCGTTTACTGTACCCCGTCATCACCCCTATTCGAGCGGGAATTCGGCTATGCCCTACCTCTCTTAATGTGTTGTGTGCATGAAACCCATTATGTTACTAAAAGTGAGCTATATCCAAATAAGAGTGATGGTAACACTTGTGTGGTTACACTGTATAATGTAATAGATACATAGTATTACTTTGTTAATTTATCGTTGTGATAGGTGCATGACGTTTGTCGACTTCTGTGGTCGAGTGGTTTGTACGCCGGGTTTCAAGGTGTCGCCTACTCGAGAGATCCCGGGTTCGAATCACGGTGGGGGCAGATGTTCGTGTGAACATCACAATGAATACGAGCACTTGTACTCCAGTCATGGATGTTCAATATGTATTTCTATATAAATACTAGCTGACCCAGGGAACTTCGTACCGCCATAAAAAATTAGGGTTGGTGGAAGAAGGGTGAAAATTTAGGGTTGTATGTATTTGTGTATAATGTATCATAAAAAAAAAATCTTAAATAGAAAAAAAAATTTAGCTGTGGATTACCCTTAACATTTAGGGGGATGAAAAATAGATTACATCCGATTCTCAGACCTACTGAATATGCATATAAAATTTCACGAAAATCGGTCGAGCCGTTTCGGAGGAGTTTAACCACAAACACCGCGACACGAGAATTTTATATATTAGATACTAATATATGTATTAGTATATGTATTCTATCCGTTACCCTAGTATCCCATAACACAAGCCTCACAGTGTTTACTTTAGGGCTAGGCTAATTGGTGTGAGTGTTGGAAATATTTATTTATTTATATTGGGTGTGTCGCCCACGAAGCTTTCTTCGTCACTTGCCCAGTCTGCTTAGATTTTGTGAATATTATATGTTTTTTTTTGTATTAAATGTAGTAGCAGCCGCTCCCGCAACAGCTATCAGTCAGAGCGGCGCGCGCCTGCGCACCCTCCGCAAGTGGTCGTTACGCCGATGCCACGTCGTTCGATGTTCAGAGACGCAGCGTCGGTCGCGGGAGGTGTCGCAGTTGGGACTACTGTGGTATGCCATGTTATGACCATCCGTCGCTTTATTTTAAGTTGCGTGTAGGGTAGGTTTGGTACACGATTTTTTCTCATTACTTTTGGCCGTTATTCGATGCTGTGATACAAGCGCTCACATCCTCTTGGCAAGCAGTACACCGATATTCTGTGGGACCAAGCACGATTTTTTGACAGTTCCATAACCTATCGCTTCGTCAAAGTTTCTATAAAACTAAGCAGCTATCCGACATAAGAACAAATGATACTAGCTTTCTCCATACAAAATTTGACGATGACGTGACGACGATTTGACGACGATCCTTCCCCTTCTCTCTCTTCAGGGCACAATACTGGCGCTACAGAGCAATATTACCATGCTCGGTATGGAAGTTCGCTCAAACCTGAATCCAAAGGACTACATCGAAACCTTGATTAAAACAGCTTCACGCTGACTCGGAGTCCAGAACAAGGTGTGGCGTTTTTTCACGCCCGATCAACTGTGCTTGTAGTAAAAACGCAAGTGCGGTCCTGCGTGGAATATTGCTCGCACCTCTAGGATGGCTCCGCTAAGTACTTACTCGATGCCTTGGACAGGTTGCAGCGGCGCGCTGCCCGCATCATTGGCGATGAAGAGGTAACTAAGAAACTCGAGTCTACAATTACGCCGTGATGTGGCATCATTAAGCGCATTCTACCGACTATACCACGGCGAGTGTTCTGAGGAGCTATTCTCGCTTATCCCTCCATCATCATTTCTTCAGAGGACCACGCGCGCTGGCTTACGTTGCCACCGACTTACAGTGGCCACTATTCCCTCACTAACAAAGAAATTTGGTGACTCATTTTTTTGTCGTACTATTCGTAAGTGGAATTCTTTACCCGCGCACGTGTTCCCTCCTTCCTATAATCTCGTGAAGAAGCATTTTTGCGGGCCGGCAAGGTGAGGATGGTTGGTGTAGCAGTTTATAACTGCTGTACCAGCTATCTTCGCGTTTGGAATCAGGGGGGGTAGTTATTTGCCTACCTAGTTATATAAAAACGTACTTTTGCGGAGCTGTCAAAAATTTGTGCATGGGCCGTTGATTTCTTGCTGTGTTCTGTGTTCGCACCATTAAGTAACTGTCCCAAGACTTATGGGGAATGCGGGTTTCGCTTAACTAAACTATGTTATTTTATGCACTAGCGTGTAAGCTGCTTCTTACAGGAGATTCCTGTACCCCAAGCATGAAGTATTCGTATCGCCATTGTAAAGATGCGAAAAGAAAGAATGACTTAGTTCTCACGTCCGATTGGGGCGCTGTCTAGTTTCCGCAGAAACTGACGAGGGCGATATGAATCATTCTCGCTAATTCTTAGTGCTTGGGGTATTGTTCGAATCGTTATGGGTAATCGATGTATGTAATACAATTGTAATTATCGTAGACCAAGAGAAAAGTATCTCTCTCATTGTCATATTTTGTATTATTACCTAACTACTAGATAAAATATCGTTATATTAGTACATTACATAGGTATATAAATCAAATAAATAAAAATTAAATTTAAACGATATTTTAATATCGCAGCAAAATTAAAAATATTAATCGTATACCTATTGCTTAGCTAAACACAGCGAACGATGTGTTATTATAGCAGCAAGTAATAGTGTCATCGAGACACCTTGAAAACTTGTGTTTTTGCGTCTTCCTTTGAAGGCAACGACCTATTAAGTAGGTATATTAGTATCCTCCTAAAATATAACGGAATCCGACTGTGAATATCCTTGCTTGACTCTTGAGAAAAACAAATTGTGTTATTCGAAATATTCAAATAGTGATTAAAATTACAAAAAAAAAAGTAATATGGAAACAGATTTGTTTTACCACGGTAATATTATCTATATTATTACCGTGGTTTTACTAACGTTTTGTTGATTAGTGATTGTCGTATTAGATGCATTTATGTTTGATAGAGATCCCTCGAAAATTTTAATTGGGCTAGAAATACTAGGAAGGCATTTGAATTTTTAAACTCAAGAAGACCTCGATTGCGTAGTAAGCGATCTATGAGCGTGCAGTTGAGCTACGTTAGCAATGGCCGTTTTAAGGATGGGTGACCAGTTCTGTATTATAATAATAATATTTTATTTCAGATACTAGATCCATAGAAAATAGAAATGTTAGTAACAATCAAACCTTAAAAACTATGTTAGTACATTTTAAAAACAAAGTTATTTCATATATATACCTTCTGAGGCACCGGTCACATGAACATGTGTATGTACCCAGTGCCTCAGAATGGCACACTCCGGTTTTTTTGCGATAACATCGAGAATACTGTTGGCGCTCCCACGAACCCTGTGCATCAACGATGCAATTCTCTTGCGCATCACTGAAGGGAAGTCGTCTAAGTGGGCATCTGCGAACATACCCGATGCACTACAATCCTCAATCCATTATTATATTGGACACGGATAGCGTTGTATGTCCGCTGCATATATCTGACCCACAAGGCGCACGTGTACAGAGACTGGTAGTAGGCCTTGAACAAGGTAATTTTAGTAATGATTTTATATAAGGTAATTTTAACATCTGCAGTACAGCGAGCGAACCTACTACCTATTATGCTGAGACTCAGTTTAGTTGAGCTATTGATCTCAGCTGTATTTGTAGTCGTTAGCATAGTAGGTACTAATCCACCAATCGGCAGTCATAGTCATTACCTATAGGTAACCTATTAGGTGGGAATGTTCTATTCTATAGGGAAGGCATGTACATTGTGTTCATTTTACGCTGTTATTAATGTCTCAGTCCCGTATCCGTATTGCATCGTATCGCATCATCATAGTTTGTATGAAAACTAAGCAAGATGCGCAAAGATTACGGATCTGGCGAAGTTCGTGCTTGGGGTAGGTACTGCACATTTTGTTTGCGTTATTTACAAAGCAATTGTTTTCGTTTCCCAAGGGTCACCTAGCGGGGGAGGCTATAAGTAGCCTGTTCAGCGGCCGCCGGCGCGAGGAGGTGCAACAAGCACTGCCGCAGAACTACCAGCTTGGCCAGGAACCGAGCGGGCCTTGCGCGTACGAGATCGCTCAGTTCCTACAGTGCGCCGGTAATAAAGAGGACCTACACGAATGCGAGGGTTTCAACGAAGCGCTCCGGGAATGCAAGCGGCGGAACAGTAAGGATTACCTTTTTGCTTTTCGCAGTAACGTCCGCCCCCAGAGCCGTCAAATAAATGTAGTCAAAGCAAAGAAAGTGACAGCAATAACTTAAAAGTTAATTGACGTCTCTGAATAAAACCCTAAGCAACGTTTGCGTACGCGAATGCCGGCAAGAGGTTTTCCGCCAACTTTTTTATCGCTCCCAATACACCTTGTATTGTACTTTTGGTATGTTCGCAAGCGGGCGCTATTTTTTTTTTTTATATTGGTTGATTGTTCATTTTGGATTGGACGTAGAGTTTGGAAATACAAGTCGAGAGAAACATTGAGTAGGTAATAAAATTCAAAGTCAGAATTTAAAAACAATGCTTGTTGTTTCAGGAATACCGTAAATCTGACATGCAAAAGAAGTTCGTCTAGTCTTTCATTCTACACCTATTCAAACAACAATGCAATAGCCAATAATAAAACATATACCTAAAAATACTTAAGTTTTTCATTTGCCTGCAGTTTAGTAACGTTATGCAGAGAAGTTGCCTACAATTCTACTATGCGCAGGTTTAAAAAAAACATTTGAGTGCGTTTGATTACAGTCGCACCTAAGCAACTATGTGGTCTCAAATAACGCACATTTACTTTTGCCTTGAAGATCCCTATATTAGTAAGTAAGAAAGCCCAAGCTGGTATTTTTGCTTTTACTCGAGCGCGGCAGATTAACAAAAGGGGTGCAACCTTGCAGCTTGTGAAGTACTCCGAATATACTTGAGCCCTCTATGTAGGGCCGCACATCTCGGGTAGCAAACAAATATTCAACAAACGGCCACGACTTTAGGTCGTTTCCAAATTGTTAGTCTTTTGAATAGCAGATACTAGAACCGTTACCTGAACTGGGTTCACGTTCAAAGAACGGAGGACTACCGGTTTATATGGAGTACGGTGTGGTCGTACGAAGGGGTAGAATATAAGGATGTTACGTGAACCCTCCAATAGCTCCTTTTTAAAAGACTGACGATTTGAACGCGACCAAAGGTCATGGCTAAATAAAAAATGATTTGCTGCCCTAGACTTAGGCCGTATACAGAAAGGAAGCCGAAAGCCGATCAGCGCTTATTGGATCCTTACTACATAAAAGAAAGCTACGACTAAAGCAGAGCAAGCAAAATGTCGGACTCATCGGACGATGATTTGGTTTTGTTAGGAAATGTGTATTTAAAAATGTGAAAAAAGCTATACATCCTATAAATAGAGAAAGAAAACGTTTCGGAGAATACAATCACTTAATTGGAAAAAATTGAAATTTGATGATCATAGATTTTGTACATATAAGTACAAGAATGACTCAAGAAACATTTTATTACATTTTGGATTTAGTGAAAAACCGTTTGATGAAAAATTGGTGTAAGGCGCTTTGCAGACGGCGGGGCGGAGAGGGCCGATCAATTTCGCCGCGAACGATAGCACAAAGTGAATCCTATACTACAAACGCACATAGAGGGCAAAAAGACAGCGCCGCAGGTGCCCGGCGGGCACTGGCGGCGCGGCATGTCCGCGACTGCCCGCCGTGGATCATACAAACCAGTTTATATGCAGTAACGCAGACGGCGGCGCGGGGCGGCTAGCTCAGTCCGCGCCACCCGCTTTTTAGTGATGGACTATTCACTAGAACGAACGTCCTGAACTGACTGCCTCTGCCCGTCGTGTGCTTTGTGTACGCGGCGAGGGCAGCCGCAGACATCGACGGGCAGACGCGGTTTTTATTGCTTCGCGGACAAAAAGCCCGCCCCGCCCCGTCATCTGCAAAGCGCCTTAGTGATGGACTGTTCACTAGAACGAACGTTCTGAACTGACTGCCTCTGCCCGTCGTGTGCTTTGTGTACGCGGCGAGGGCAGCCGCAGACATCGACGGGCAGACGCGGTTTTTATTGCTTCGCGGACAAAAAGCCCGCCCCGACCCGTCGTCTGCAAAGCGCCTAATTGGCATAAACAACCAATCCTTCCAAAAGAAAGACTTGTTGTCACCATTCGATAAGTACGAAACAAAAAATTTTAGCGCTTAGTTAATAAAAGACAAAGTAATTAGATTTATAAAAAGATTATAACTTAGATTTATTTAATCTAAGGATAATAATTCAAATACAAATCATTTATTATTCGGACAACATAGATCATAATGACCAGCTGACCATCGGCATTTGTCGACGCTTATCGGCGCTGGTCCATAGAAAACGGATCGCTGATCGGCTTTCAGCTTTCTTTCTGTATACGGCCTTAGGTCCTACATAGAAGGCTTAGGTATGGTGAGAGGTTGGCCCCCTATGTTAATCTGCCGTGCTCGAGTAAATCCAAAAATCTCGCTCCCATACCATTATAAATATTTCCAACTTCCAACACACACCAATCCTAGGGTTACGGATAGAATACACATACAGAACATATATAAGTAAATTTATATAGAAATACATATTAAACATCCATGACTGGAGTGGAGTACAAATGCTCGTATTAATCACACAAACATCTGCCCCCACCGGGATTCGAACCCGGGACTTCTCGAGTCGGCGACACCATGAAACCCGGCGTACAAACCACTCGACCACGGAGGTCGTCTATACCATTATATGGATCTTTCGATATTCTGTTTCTTCATATTTGCATAAAAAAGTTCATAGACCCGTGTCTCACGCAGATGGAACCCGGGCTCGCGCTGGTCCTATGTATTCTGTGATAGCGTGTCCGTGAGCAGTGTCTACGTCTGCGTTGCTTAAGCGCATTTGGTATGTAGATTGCTTTCTGTGCTATTTTGTTGTATAACTGCGTGACAGCGTTAAGATGCCGCTACAATAGTAATTGGTGTTTTGAACATAGTTTTGTAGAAATAATGTACCACCCAGAACGATGTTTAATTTGTATACTTCGTACGGGTTAAAATACTTTGGAAGAAATGACGGACCCGAGTCTACCGTACCAAAAGGGACGAACGTCAAATGTTTGACAGGAAAGAAGATACACAAGAACAGTTTAAATGGGAAAATTAAATTGACACTTTTACTATCTTCCTCGCAATTTTTCTATATTTTCTCACCTGAAACTTTTCAAGACCAACCCCTCTAGCATGACCACCGAAACGGGATATGATAAAGCTATATATCGACATTAACTGTCAGACTACTGTCAAACTCCATAGTAGTCTGACAGTTAGTGCCGATATATCGCTTTAACATATCCCGTTTCGGTGGTCATGCTAGAGGGGCTGGATAAGATAAATCCCTTCAGCCGTTCTCGAGTTTTAGCGAGACCAACGAACAGCATTTGATTTTTATATATATAGACTAGCGCCCGTCCATAACTTCATCCGCGTTAATTTTAGTTTAATGAGAATTCCATGAAATCCCATAAAATGTATCCTATGCAACGATATTAAATACCCAGATACACCCCGTGCGCTCAAAGTGTATCCCAATCAAGAAGTGACTGAACACCACAAACACTTCTTGGTTCCCAGTCACGCGCGGACCGTCGAAAAGTCAAGATGCCGCAGAAATCCGTGAAAAAATGCGAAAAAAATAATTATAGTATGTAAAGTGTGGTTTTTCGACAGGTGTCTAATTAATGTTTGTTAATTAAAACAGGGCTTTATTCCGGAAAAAATCTAGGATCCTATGAGATTCTCAAAAACAAATTATACCGCAAACGTAGTCGTGGGCTTCCGCCCACTTCCGTTAAAAGTTAATTTAAACAAGAGTAAAAAAATTGAATAGGATAGAAATAACAACAAACGACTATATATACAGGTGTATACATATAAACTTAAATTTATTTACACCTTAGTACATATAAGTTGTGACATTCTGTAGTGTATACATAGATGAATTCAGTTTCAATAACAAAATTGCTACATAATCGGATTTAATACATAAAACATAGGTTTAATTTGTTTCAAAATTATAGGTAAGTATGTGAGATTATTGATTGAAGCTACTAAATATTAACATAAATCGCAATTAATTTCTGTACAATATAAACAAACATCTGTATATAAATTTACAATTTGGCACTTTTAAAACTGATTGTTTGAGAATAGATTATTATTTTATTATGTAAAAAAATCGGATTAATCTCTTTGGATTTGTGCAAACGATTTTGCATGTTTACTGACCGGAAACCATTATAATCTAATTACAGAAAACGACCAGTTACAAAACATGAACTTGTAAACGTAATTAATCAAACATCATAAACTTTGTGACTGAACAGACAACCATGTACAAACAACTATGTAACATTTAACAAGTACGGTAAAGTAAATTATAGAAGGCATCTCGTTAAAGGATAGCTGCGATGCTCGAGGTCGAAACAGATCCATAAATAAGATATTTTTTACCAATTAATAATGTAATCGAAAGTCATCTCGAGCAACGCAGTAATAAGTCGCAAATTAGTATGCACCTCAAGTTATATGACCCGTTTTATTTCATTGTGAAATTCGTTCGTGTCGCGTGTTCGTTCTAAAAACTAAAAATTCAACTAATCATTACGTTTTAACGCTTACGCTAAATCAGTCTAAAATTCTTAAAGCGACATTACATTATGTCTAACGATAAAGCTTAAACGAATCCATAAACAATTACACACATACACTGGAAATTTCAATGTAAAAATAAGGCCACTATGTATCATATTAACATTATAGCGAAATAAGAAGAATTTAAATTAAGTTATTCTCGATTATTTATTAAGTTTAATTACAATTTTACAAATAAATATTTGAGGGCATACTCAAAAAATGAGATTACAGTTAGACACTCCTATAAGTAAAGGTTTTTTATTTATAATTGTATCACTTTTTGTAGTAGTGTCTAACTTTTATCACCGTTTTTTTAGTATGGCTATTAGATTTTAATTATTTATGATCATCGGTCACTTTGATGTCGTAAAACCTATTAGGTTTTGCGTGTACAGTTAGATTATTAATTACATAACGGAAATTTCAAAGTTTCGTAACATTTGTAAATTAAATGATCACAAAATAATGCACCAGCGCTTACATATTTATTATAATAATACACAATATAAACCAATGTAAACAGGGCCCAAGATGCAAAAGCCAAGCCCGCAACATCGAAAAATAATTTAAAGCTCATCACATTATTACACTCTGTGTAAATTTTACTTTCCAAATTAAATATTATATTTATATACTTATCTAGATTTAATAAGAGCAAACGCTTAAACAGCGTTATAGGAGGCATGTTAGAAGTAACAGATTTACAATATTTAGCACGTGATAAATCTAATTAATATAATTGTCTACCCTATAATAGCCCTTGGAGAAAATGTACAAGTCTTAGGACGCACCGTTATTTATTTACATTACGTAATGAAATATATGACACATTAATAACCGGACCCAGAGTGTGGGTCCGTCAATGATACTCACGTAAAATGTTACGCGCGTACGTTTGCTGCGGGTACAGGTCACAGGTCACAAGCGCATTTCCCATAGTATGAGATGCGCGTCCTTAGGATTAGGATCAGCTGCCGGCACAGGTCTTTCTGCTGCGTCAGCCGTTTGTCTCCAGTCAACGTAACCTCGTCCTCCGACTATCGTCACGACGGACCGTCGAGCCGGGCTCTCGCCTAACATGTAATCGGCGCCGCGTAAACTTCTAGCTGCACTTTTGGGGGCCGGTTTCGTTTCGTTGGTTGCGGAGTCACTTCTAGATATCGATCGATCGGAAGCTGTGGATTTGCCCGAAGACGAATCGGGCGTGGAGACGGCGATGGGCGCGAGACTCGCCGCTCCGGATGCACCAGAACTAGTTCTGGACACGCCCCGGAGAGCCATGGACTCTTCGCTGCCTGATGAAGTACAAAGGCTGGATGCTCGGGAGTCGACGGACCAACTGGACAAGTCGAGACTTCTAGGTCGGCCGGCTCGCATCCGTAATCGCCGATCGAGTGTGCTCACTCTGAAGGGAATCGCGGCTAACTCCGGATCGCTTCGTCGCAGCGCCTCCCCGCCAGAACCGCTGACATCCGCTTCGCCGACGCAGTCTTTTACGAACATCAAGTCGCTGAATAAGCCATACACATCGCACGCATTGAGATTCGCGCATTTCGGCAAGGTTTTGCTGAGCCGGACATCGCCCGGTTTCTTCCGTCGGACGACCGCGGACTGCACCCTCTGTGGACGGTAAGGGCTAGTCTCTTCCGATATTCGTCTTTCAAGTTTTGGTTTTTCACCGTCCTCTTTAGTAGACTCCTCCTCTTTGAATTCGTGAAGCGTGGATGTTTCAGCTAGAGCTCGAGCGTTGGAGAGGTTCCTTCGCACTACGTTAACGTCTACGTCTCTGGACTCTGGGGTCAAAGCTAACAGGAATGTGACTGGTCCAGCGTGGGCATGATATGATACGCCAATGTGTCCGCCGACTAGAGGCAGTCCTTCTAGTTTCGGCAAAGGCACGGTAACACTGACCCCGGCAGTCGTGCCTACCCACAATAAGCCTTGACAGGCGAGCAAAGCGGATACGAAAGCAGGCTTGCTTCCTTCCCTGGCGCCGATAGTCTTAGCCACGTCAGCAGCGATGTCGATGTTCTGCAGATGCTCAAAGGTTTCCGCGTGGTACAAACTTACGTAGGTTGAATCGGAGAAGGCGGTCCATAGACCGACGCCCGAATGCGCTAAATACCTAACAGAGCGGTCATTGTCGCCTTTAAGTTCCAGTATGCGTATTATTTCTGCTGTGAGTGCGTTTATAGCAAAGACACGGCGAGCGCAAGTCGCGTATATAATGCCATCTACTGGGAGGACGCAGTGGACTGGTTTGTCGCCTAGTTCTATAGCTAAGGGTTCGTGCAAGGCCCAGGAGTCATCGTGGTTCCTTCTGAAAACTGAGACTCGGCCGTTGCTAAGCCCTACAAACATAGAATCGCAGTGGTACCGTATTTGTGTTACTGCGGCGGTGGTTTGCACCTCGGTCAGTTTCTCCTGTTTTTCTGGCTCGACGCCGGAGAATATGATGATCTTCTTGTCTTCAGTGCCGAGCCACACTGTGTCGCCGCACAGCGTGGTCACTTGTCGAACCCCTTTCGCGTATTCCATAGAAGTTACCTGCAAGAGTAATTAGATTAAAGTGAGGAAAGGGCGAATTAAACTTTATGGAGATTGTGAAGTTCGCAGCGAGTTACATCTCCTTCCATTTCGTTTGTTGCGCCGCGACTCTAATTTCACTGCCGCCATTAAGTTTCAATCATACTCTTTAATAATAAGTAAATGGGTAAAGACGTTATTACAATTAATTTTAATAACCTCTGTGACCCTCAATTTCGTTTATAAATTGAAACCGTGCTGGGATTTTTTTTAATATTCGTATTTTTTGGAACTAGACGAAAAAAAGTGTAAGATTTTTGTTTTGTAGCGAAGTGTGTAGTTGTGTCCTTATACTTATGTCTATTTTTAACTTCGTTCCAACCGAATGTTCCACGACACTCACGTTTGCTTTTATAAATTTAAAATATTTGCTATATTATTATATTGGTTCCATTTGGGCGCGCGGTGAAGTAGGACTGCCCTAGGGCTATCGTTAGACGTATAGCGTCTAACGAAAGCCCTCAGGGGTTAGACACACATATGTCGCGAGTGTAAGGGGAACATTGGCCTCACCTTGGTGGCGGGCAGGTGCAGCAGAACGAGGGTCTTCAGTTTGGCCGCGCGGTGAGCTAGGACTGCCCCAGGGCTATCGTTAGACGTATAGCTGGGAGGGTTAGACACACATATGTCGCGAGTGTAAGGGGAACATTGGCCTCACCTTGGTGGCGGGCAGGTGCAGCGTGACGAGGGTCTTCAGTTTGGCCGCGCGGTGACCTAGAACGGCCCTGGGGCTACCGTCTGACTGTAGACGTATGGCAGCCGGGGTTTAGACACACATATGCCGCGAGTATATGGGGAACATTGGCCTCACCTTGGTGGCGGGCAGGTGCAGCGTGACGAGGGTCTTCAGTTTGGCCGCGCGGTGAGCTAGGACTGCCACTTGGCTATCGTTCCCGCCTCCAGCGCAGACCCATAGTAGGGAACGGGAGCGGCGAGTGGAAGCGCCGCGGGGAGAACCGCTTGAGGTGTAGAAGCAACCGCAGCGGACCTATTGTGACAAACAAATTGAAATTAAACGATTTATTTTTGCATAAGATATACTCGTAGTTGTCATAAAAATTTCAATGTTGAAAATTGGTGTGTCGAGACCGTTGAAAGTTCTGCATTGAATAAAATAACTTTTTTACGGGGTTAAAATGCGATTTACTGCATTTTTACATAACTCGATGTTTCACACCCTTTAGAAGGTGCATTAACTGTAGAGTATTGCATTCGAAAAATATTGAAATTGTACGGTGAGACTATACGGGAGAATTGGCCGATGCTTGAGCTAGCTAAACCAATCTCAACTCTGTACCTTAAACCAGACGGCCTATTATCATTTAAAGGTAATTTTTGTTCGATAAATTATTTACTAATCTCTGTGTGTTGAGGGGAAGAATACACAGGTACAGCGGCCACGAATATTGTAATTTTGTGCGCAGGCGCATGTTTTGGTGTGGGCATTCTCCACGCGGGAAAATTGGCAGAAGCTTGAGCTAGCTGAGCGAATCTCAACTTTGCAGCTTAAACCAGACAACCTATTATCATCTGGAGGTAGTTTTTGTTAAACATTTTTTTACTTACCTCTGTGAGTTGAGGGGAAGAATACACAGGTGCAGCGGCGACGAATAATGGCATTTTGTGCGCAGGCGCATGTTGTGGTGCGGGCATTCTCCACGCGGGAGAATTGGCCGAAGCTTGAGCTAGTTGAGCCAATCTCAACTCTGTGGCCCAGGTGAGACGGGCGCCCGGCTCGCTAGCTCGGAACGTTACGGGTTCTTCGCGACCTCTTATTGTTAATTGGAGACAACAGGAGTCAACCCACGCCATTTCGTCGTCCTTTTTCTGAGGAAATTACAAATAAAATATGGTTAGTTAGATATTACGTGTAAAAGTGAAATATAATTTAAATCGCGACAAATTTGTGTATTTGCCGATAATGTTACAACTGCCGCGCTTAATCCGGCTTTTAATTCACTCTTGAGAGTACTCTAGTATAAGTACTAAACAATGATGTGGAATCGGGTGTAATGTTGTATTTTTAAAATAATCTCTACTTTCGGTATTGAGCACTTAAAAAGGAAGTTAATATTGATTGACCCTGGAAAAACATTTCAAGTAGAATGTCCATCATTGACACCTTTGTCTTTCACAATTCCATAGTTTATTAAGCTAAATAGTACAGATAAAGCTTACTTCGATAATACGCTAAGGTATAAGCTTGGGGTACGGGTAATGCAGCAACGCGGCGAAGTTAGCCATCCACGAAAATGTGTCGGCGGTTTTCTCTTGGTTTTTGAGAGTTGTCAATATCAAGCGAGTGTCAGTCCATAATCTACTCACCTGTATACTACGCTGTATATCTTGCAGCAGCACGCGGAACATGTCGCTTGCCAGCTCCGGGTACGGGGTATGCAGCGACGCGGCTAATTTAGCCATCCACGCCAATGTGTCGGCTGTTTCCTCGTGGTTTCTTGAGAGTTGTCAATATCAAGCGAGCATCTGTCCATTATCTACTCACCTGTATACTACGCAGTATATCTTGCAGCAGCACGTGGAATATATCGCTTGCCAGCTCGGGGTACGGGGTATGCAGCGACGCGGTTAAGTCAGCCATTCGCGACACTGTCGCGTAGTGGTGCATTAAAACTGACATCTCGCTGCAATATCGGAAGCGATGCAGCTAAGTCAGACCGCGAGTGAGACCAGAGATAAAGAGAATGAACTGAGCGACACTCGCATGAAATTAACAACCCTCTAGAAAGCGAAGAAACCAATATCTATACGAACTATTGGCTTCAGGATTACGGGCCTATACTTCGTCAATGTTGGTCTTTTCATTTAATGTTGTGGTTTCACAGACGTGCTTTTATCCAACAAAAAGAAATCTCTATGTATCGACTGTTTTCTACACACCTGTATACTACGCTGTATGTCCTGCAGCAGCACGCGGAACATATCGCTTGCCAGCTCGGGGTACGGGGTATGAAGCGACGCGGCTAAGTCAGCCATTCGCGACACTGTCTCGTAGTCGTGCATTAACGCTGACATCTCGCTGCATAGGGAGTCGCCGCTTGTGGTGCTGTGCCCGTTGCTGGAGTTGGAGCGGAGACTGCCGCTGCGGTTCATGCCTGCAAGTCATAGACCGTGATATGAAAATATGTTTTGATTTTAGCAAGCGCTACATCGCGATATATAAATACATTAAGGAAGAGAAAACGAAAGAAACCTTAGCAAAGTAAAGCTGACCTGCCTTGCCCCGTGCTATGGTAGAATTATACTGTAAATGCCTACTTTTACTTTATTTGAACCTTTTTTGTTATTATAATAAATCAATTTCAATTTGTGAGTTCAGAATGTAAAGTTTACTATAGTCTATAAAACTACAAAGATATGTAAATTTGTTAAAAAAATATAAGCTACACATTATAATTGATGCCAGCAGTTGGCTGAGCACAGGAGAGGTCTATATGGTCCTTCCTACCTTGTGCCAGCACTCAGCTCAGCGTAGGCGAAATGCCCGTACACACCTTGGACTGGATCTTTCCACTTTAGCCCCAATTTCACTGCATAATTTCCACCAGCTAACACTTATAAAGATACTGTTGTGACCGCATTCTGGGTACTGGTTCTTCGAACTAGATAAAAAATGGTCCTTCGATTTGGATACAAATATGATGATATATAATCACCTTGTGCCAGCACTCGGCTCAGCGTAGTCAAAATGCCCGCATCCTGAACGTCCGCATCTTAGACCGGATTTTCCACTTTAATCCCAATCCCCTGCATCATTTCCACCAGCTAACACTTTTAAAGATACTGTTGTGGCCGCATTCTGATTAATAGTTCTTCGAGCTAGATAAAAAATGGTCCTTCGATCTGGATAAAAATATGATGATATATATTCACCATGTGCTAGCACTCGGCTCAGCGTAGGCGAAGAGCTCGTGTCCAGAACGTCGACATCTTGGACCGGATGTGCCCGCTTTAGTTTCAATCTCCCTGCATCATTACCACCAGCTAACATTATTAAAGATATTGTTGTGACCGCATTCTGGTAAATTGTCCTTCGAGCTAGATAAAAAATGGTCCTTCGATTTGGATAAAAATATGATGTTATATAATCACCTTGTGCCAGCACTCGGCTCAACGTAGGCGAAGTGCCCGTGTCCAGAACGTCCACATCTTGGACCGGATGAGCCCACTTCAGTCCCAATCTCTCTGCGTCATCACCGCCGGCGCCCACTGACACGCAAACGACCAAGTCGTTCAGGAGTAGAAGCCGACGGGGCTTGCATTTCGACATGCCACCGGATTGATTGAATTCCTGTGGGAGAGAGAGTAAAAGTATGAGTAATAATTGTATTCAATGGAACAATTTTTAAAAGGTAAAAGGCGTCTTCAAATTACTTATATCGAAAATGGGACCAATAAAGGGCTTGAAACTTTAATAAAAATAGAAATAATTATATACACGCCGTTTTACGTGTTAAAAAGTATTTCATTAAATGATTGGGGTCTGTGAAAACGGTGTGCTTTCAAATCGTGTCTTCGGTCGTCAATAAGGTACGGGACACTGGAGGTTTGTTAACGACACCGGTACAAACCGCAAGTTGCAGTAAGTCGTCTTGTCTCACCAAATGCCGCTTGTCGGCGCGAGAGGCGAGCAATCTGTTTGCACCGCCCGCCGCCGCGATCCTGCTCCACGTGACACTTTCGACTGCGCTTTGATTACAACGTAACGTCACGCAATGACAAATAGTTCGGTTAAAAACTGCGCGCAGCACCATTTACTCACTTTCGTGCCAATTTCTCTGCATACTTACCACCAGCTAACACTATTAAAGAGACTGTTGTGGCTACATTCTGGTTAATGGTTCTTCGAGCTGGATAAAAAGCAGTAAAAACTGTGCGCAGTATCACATCAGTTGTAGCAAGACGTCCTGTCGCAGCAAGTGCCGCTTGTCGGCTTAAGAGGCGAGTAATCAGACCACGACCCCGCTCCGCGTCACACTTTCGACTGCGCTTTGATTACAACGCAACGCCACGCAATGACAAAGTTTTCGATTGAAAAGTGCGCGCAGTACCACTTACTTGCTCACTTTCGTGCCAATCTCTATGCAATATTCCACCATCTAACACTTGTTAAAGAGACTGTTGGAGCCGCATTCTGGTTAATGGTCCTTCGAGCTGGATAAAAACGGTAAAACCTGTGCGCAGTATCACTCACCAGTTGCAGCAAGTCGTCTTGTCTCAGCAAATGCCGCTTGTCGGCGCGGGAGGCGAGTAATCTGGCCGCACCGAATCTCGCGGCACCGCCCGCACCCCCCGCGCCCGCAACCCCGCCCCTTGTCAGGCGACGCAACGCGGCACGGAACGCCTGGAAACATAATAACCTGGTTAGTGCACCTTTGAAGTCAAATAAAACTGATATTGCCGATGTAATTTAGTATGTTCCATCCATAGAAATAGCATTTGCCCCAATCAGTGAGGACATTAATAGGCTGTGATGATGATGAGATGAGTACTGAGCATTCCTTCGAGCGCACAGTGATTACGTCAGCATCATGGATTCGGGTTTCACGGACTGAAGACTGTTAATTGGTATAGATATACCAAAAATTCGAAAGAAGTTTGTTTTGTTCGTAATAGTTCTTAATAAGGTTATAATATTTGTACCTTACCCTATGCTGAATACTGTGTCAATCAAGTTTATTTAAATGAATATTATGTACGTTAAAGTCCTCTATCCTAAATCTATTTAAGTACTGCTGCTCATGAAGCTCATGAATCAATAAAAAAACAGAATACATTAAATGAAAATGCATAAAGATACCAATGTTTACGTAAGCACGGGAAGGGGAGGTAAGAGCTTTGCTTACTTTTGCTGACAAGGGGGAGGAGGGGGTAAATAAATATAATTAATCTGCTTACGTAATACTTGAACAGCCCCTTTTGTAAGCGAGAATTGAAATCGTTTCTTAAACTTGTCAAATACCCTATTGCCGGTGAAATAGATCATGAATAGGGTATTTGACAAGTTTTAGAAAACGATCTCACGTTATTGACTAATGTTTATGGAGTCCGTAAAAAGTGGATATTGATCATTCTGTTGTGTAGTTCAGTAAAAATAACCAAATCAAAAACTCCATTTTCAAGTTGCCGCGAAAACGTTTCTCTGGACAATATGGCATCTTACTAGTGTGTGATGTCACACGACTGTTATTTAAACGTCAAACGATACAAGGTAATGTCACTTTAACCGGAAGTTTACTTGCGTGTGACGTCATTTGAGGCTCTGCCAATCCCAACCGTTTGAGTCACGTGACAATAGATAAGAAAACTATTATCTTTTTCGTGGGTTTTAAGTAAAATTATGAATATTTTTTCTGTAAAAATAGTGAAAATCCCTGCCAATATTCATTCTAAACACAGATGCTAACAATTGGCACTTTATTTTAATACAGTCAAATACCCTATTATGCCGATTGACCGGTAATCAATAGTCCCAAACAGCAAACAAATATCTCATTTTGTTGATGTAGTTATTTCGAATAAGATATTCTGTCGTCGCTGTTTTGTATGGATAAACCGTGGATCAGTGTTGACCGTTATAATCACGTCACTATTGCATTGTATGCTACAGAATATTGTCAGCGTGGTGCTTACAAAATTTTCATTGAAATTCCAGTTTACATCGAGGCTAACAGCGAATCTGTTTATAGTCAGAGGCAAACAATACGGTTGGTATCAATACTTATACATATGTGAGGAGCTTCTTAGATGTAAACTTATATTTTCGTTGTCTCTCCTTACAAACTAGTGAATTTATTTTGTGCCAATTTTCACGCTCCATACCTGCGTTCTTTCCGCGTCACGTTTCCTCTCGTTAAGCGCCTCAGCCAGAGCTTCTAATCTCGTCAGAGCCCTTTGTAGAGCTACCCTATCCGAGTGTCCAGGCGGAGTATGTTTCAATAGATCCTGTAAAATATTTGATTCACTTTAAAACAACCATTCAAAAACCAATAGCATTTACCCGTGGTTTCGTCTAAGAATACGTAGAAATTACAATTTTGTGTTATAGTTTTTGACTTGTTGATTGATATAATTATCATTCATTAGGAATGTAAGTTATGCAGTTGGTCCTGGTTATATCTACAGTCGTTAACGCCCATCAAACTGCACTGTGACGAAGTGATGAATCATGGACCGTTTTCCCTACTCCCGTCATAGGGAAGACCATTGATCCAGTAGTGGTCACAATAATGGGCCAATAATATGTTGAGAATTGATCATTTAGAATATAATTAAAAACAGTATTAAGATAATTGCAAATACACCATCCAGAACATATTTTTAAATAGCTAAAATTATGCAACTATGCTAATATTGACTAATCTACTATGTTACTGAGCGTTTAATTAAATGATTGAGATTATTCTTCTAATATTGACAGCTCTTTTGATAAGTTACAAAGAAAAACAACATTCGCAGTGTAAGCGCATCCATAGTGATATGGCCTTAAATCTGTAGCTTAACATTAATTTCTACTTTACCTGCAAGAACATAATGAACTGTGGGAACCGTTGCACCGGTTTCACCATCAAACCGAAGAATGAGAGCCGGTCGTGCGCGCTGATCTGCTTGACCTTGAAGAAGTCTGCCAGCGCGGACTTGCGTTTGGACTCCATTTTTGCCAGTTCCATGGCCACGGAGAAGTTGTTGATGAAGTCAGAGTACACATCCAGCACCACTGCCTTTGAGAACGCGCTGAGAAAGACCTCGCCTGAAAAGTGAGTTTAAAATTTAAGTTTTATGTCCTATCTATATATATAAAACTCAAAGGTGACTGACTGACATAGTGATCTATCAACGCACAGCCCAAGCCACTGGACGGATCGGGCTGAAAATGACGTAGGCATCCGCTAAGAAAGGATTTTGATCAATTCTACCCCCAAGGGGATAAAATAGGGAATGAAAGTTTGTATGAAACTTTGACAATCTTAAACCGATTGGGCTGAGCCTTTGCATGCAGGTATGAGAATGAATGTCATTGTGTAAAATACAAGCCTGAGAACAAAAACTGTAGTCTACACTCCAGCTCTACACCGAAGCGAAGCGAGGGCGGGCTATTGTACAATATAAAATGTATGTATTTAAGATACTCTAGGACTGTTACTTATTCCAAACTCGAGATAGTTTTGTTAAGCTAAGGCCAAGCTTAAGCTTATAAATTCAATTTAATTGCGACTATGGACGCGAGATAATGATCTGATAGAATATGCAGTGATAAAGCTTTAAGATTTATTTATCAACACATATCTTTTACAACTTCTCGTATAAGATCTAAAACAACAACAAAAAAAAAGTATAATTTTGAGCACACAAATTAAAATAAATTGGTCAAAAGCACCACAATTATAATATAAAAAATAAATTAATAATAATTGTTTTGAAACTAAAAGTAAAGAATCTATAGCAGCGGCACGCTATAATGGCCGTTTTGATACATTTGCTATCGAAAAAAATGTAATTAGAATCAAATGCGAATTACAACTATGTATAAAAAAAACGAGCGAGCCTTACAGTAGTCGCATATGGTGTGTAACATTTGAAACCTCACCTTATATTAGTAAAAAAAGAAATAAAACCTACTACAAAAGGAATAAGCCATTTGAACATAATATGTTCTAAAATCAAATAGCGCGCACTTTCGCTACTTCCTGTTACACACCTCCGTCCCATTTCACGAAATCACTCCCACAAATTGCAGGAAAGCGAAAGGAAAGATGTTACACATTAAAAATTTAACCAATATTACAAGAAGTTTCTGATTATTAAGATTGAATAAAACGAAAACATAAATGTTAACACATGCTCAGTGATCATTTATGTAGCGGTCTTATGATTGCAATTTTTTTACATTATGAATTTCGAAAAATATACAAGTGCCGAGTTGCGTGGCGAATAAGTACTCTAATTATATTTATTATTTGTATGGTACAACAGATCTTAATTATAAAAACAATTCATTAATTTAATTTACTTAATCTGATTTTTTGTTAAAAGCAATATTGCTTTTCATTGTTTTATACTTATATGGCTAAATGCGCCTCTCAAGACAATAAAGAATAATAACTATGTCAAAGTTTAAAACTACTTTCAAATATGAAACTTTTTGGACACACACACGTCCAAAAGGGCCATCATAGCGTGCCTCTACTATAAACAATAAATTTATTAACACAAGATTTGATGAAAAAGATCCGTCATATATTGTTTTTTTTTGTGTTTCATAAAACACGGCACAAGCAATCAATTTTTCATCTTGATGCATGTAAAATCAAACGATTTGTTGTATGTTCTGAGGACGTTCGTCTAGCTAGACTTAACTCCCTCAAAACTTTTTACAATCAACCCTGGGACTTTACATGTGAAGTAACTTTTAAGTAAAAATTGTCTTTATATCGATTTTATTTACTGACCAATTTTTTCATCGCGGTCCCACGTGCGCGCACAGTCGGCGAGTGCGGTGCGGAAATGCAGGTGGCATTGCAGGATGTCTGGCAAACGATGGAACAGCGTCTGGATCTTGCTCACATTCAAGATCGCGGGACTGCTCTCTTCTAGGGGCTTCTTGTAGTCCTGATGGTGCAAAACGGATATAATTTTAGACTAGGTAAAGGGTAATGTAATGTTTGAAACAAACATTTTACGCGGAGGCTGTACTGCAACTTTAACAATTGATAATCTATTAATCGTGAACTTTGTCTTGCCGTGCCCATCTCTACAATAGCAAATGCAAGTTACAGAAATATAGACAGTCAAGATGTTTATACCAAAGTACTGGTGTAGATATTATGTACATTATCCACGAACTCTAAACGCGTAAGAAATGAGTTTACCACATTATAAAAAAATAAATATTATCCAAAAAAATTTTAGGGGTGTGTAACGTAGTGTTCTGTCAATTTCCTGGGATAACATTCCTCCTAACCCATATGAGAACACTACGTTACAATACCCAATAGTTTGAATTTTGGCACGAAGGCGCATTGTAGGTTTCAGAACACTACGTTACAGGTGGACATCCATTATCACTTAAGGATATGAAAAATAGATAGGCGATTCTCAGACCCACGGAATATGCATATAAAATTTCATAAAAATCGGTCAACTGTGACACGAAAATTTTAAATATAAGATGTATGTGAGAATAGTACTTGCTACCGATTCAATTTCTTATATAGACTAGCGGATTTATACTTATTTCTATGAAACAAGTGATTATGGTGCCGTCAATAGTTGCAAAATGCTTTTGCACCTCCAGATATAGAAGACATTGATATCTTAGCAACTTTTTTTTAATAATTTTTTTTTTTTTTTTTATAGTTAGGTCCGACAAATGACTCCTGCCCACCTGATGTTAAGTGAAGGTGAAGTCCAGACGCGAAGATAGCTGATACAGCAGTTCTACCTGCCACACCAGCCATCCTCACCCTGCCGGCCTGCATGTTGCTTCTTCACGCCTCTTTTAAAGGATCCCAGGTTGTAAGAGGGAGGGGAACACGTGAGCGGGCAGAGCATTCCATTTACGGATAGTGCGACAAAGAAATTAGTCACCAAATTTCTTTGTACGCGTTGGAATTGTGGCCACAGTAAAACGGTGACAACGTAGGCCAGCGCGCGTGGTCCTCTGAAGGAAAGGGGAAGGTGGGATAAGAGAGAATAACTCCTCAGAACACTCGCCGTGGTACAAACGATAGAACGCGCTTAGTGACGCCACGTCACGGCGTAATTGAAGAGGCTCAAGGTGTTTAGTCACCTCCTCATCGCCTATGATGCGGATCGCGCGCCGCTGTAACCTATCCAAAGCATCGAGCAAGTACTTGGCGGAGCCATCCCAGAGGTGCGAGCAATATTCCACGCAGGACCGCACTTGCGTTTTGTACAACAAGCACAGTTGATCGGGCGTGAAAAAACGCCGCACCTTGTTCAGGACTCCGAGTTTGCGTGAAGCTGTTTTGATCACGGTTTCGATGTAGTCCTTTGGATTCAGGTCTGAGCGAACTTCCATACCGAGCATGGAAATGTTGCTCTGCAGCGGTAGTGTTGTGCCCTGAAGAGATGGAAGGGGAAGGAATGGCGATGTTTACACTTATTACACTGCACTCTCATGTTATGAAATGAAATGCTGTTATTAATTAACTCTTCATTGATAAGAAGATAATGATTAGCTTACGAATGTGTAAGACATAATTTAATGAATAGTTTTTCTGCCGAAAACACAAATACCACGACGTAACTGCTTCACAGTTAATATTTATTTGAGAGCTGTTAAAAATCAAGAAGCTAAACACGCTAAGCCGTGTATGTTTTAGATTTGATAATATTAATAAAATCATAAGGTAATAAAATAGTTTCGAGTAGTTTTATCTCATCATAGTTGCGTATAGATATACTTTTATTACACTGGACATGATGTCGTCATTTCTTAAAATAGTCTTTATTGGATTTTAACATTTTCAGTGGCCTTAACTTAAGTTTGTATAAGGCGAGGTGTCTATTGACTGTTACTACAAAAAATTTGCAATTGTTTGCGATTGTGGAGAAATATTTATCTACAAATGGCAAATAGTACATTACGATACGCGTGACCTAAGTTGCCTATTTCGCTCTCGCTCCGCTCGGGCGCTAACTTCACGCCGTGCAGTAATAGACAACTTAGGCCACAAGTATCGTATACTATTTTATAGCAAGTGTGACATAAACCCGCCCCGGACGCGGGCAAGAGGGGGGGGGGGGGGTGGGGTTGCGGTTGCCCGAGGGATACGATTAGTGTTTTGAAAGTAAAATTCATGTATTGCAATCACAAAGAATTGCAATACAGACTGCAAGTCAAACTCTGAAAAGAAAGAATTCCGGTTCAGATTACCATTTTGAAAGTATATTTCAAAAGGAAAAAATCAAATATCATTACAACAAAATAACCTAACCTATCGCTAATTTGTCATTTGTTTGCTGTGAGTTTTTAAGCTCCAAATGACATTTAAATGTGTTTCCTTTTATTTTTTCTACATGAGTGAAGTTGGTCAATTCATTTACACACCGTGCAGAAATAGGCAACTTAAGGTCACGGAAAAGCGTGCGTAAAGTGCGGGTTTAGGTCACACTGTGCTATAAAATGTTTTACGACGATGTTTTTAACAGTGTTAAATTTTTTTTTATTAATTAAAAAAAAATCAAGCAGTTTCTCTCTAATGTTTATAATAAAAATATTATAACTCAATTAACACTTTCCTCTTATCTATTCAATGTTACAGTCATTCATCGAATATTTCTGATAAAACGTCGAATGATAGTATTAAAATTATATACAAGGTATGGATATTGTAACGTGCACCATGTGTACATTTTTTTCAATTTATCTTCATTCCAAAATGTTACAAGGTTGTATGTATAAATAGCGAGATACAATTTTAACTCTGTTGGGCATAGCAAAGTCAAGTAGAAGAGTTACACACGCATGACATAGCGAGAAAACGTTAATTCAAGCATGTTTTCATTTACTATGACACAATGACACGAGCTTCCAATTCAAAATTGCCTAAGTAACATCGATGATGACATAGTACTCGCTATGAGTGACTTTTGTTTTCATAAGAGCGCTTCTTGAATCAATACTGGTCATTTATTTATTTAAATATACGTACTTTAATACTTTTAACGCGATAATTTGTTATTTTTTTTTAAATAAAATTACCGACATTTATGGTTGAGCGTTGCGCGCTCATCGTCATCGTCATTTTGTATGGAAAAACTAGATTGTTTTTACTCCGATAGGGGCGCTGCTGAGTTTTTATAGAAACTGACGATGCGATACGATTAAGAGCGCTGTCAAAATTCATGCTTGGGCCACAGGTTTTCTTTTAATTATGGATCTTTACTTTCCAGAAACGCTAAAACTGATACATTGATAAATGAAGTCAAGCCAACATTTAAGTTCTTCACTATCGAAACCTGATAAATTTCCGCAAACGAATTGTGAACCCCCATTTTTTGGCAGGTCAACGTAAACCGCCGCCGAATCAGCCGTGGACTCCTGGGGGTCCACCTGGACTACTTTGGGAATCAATGATCGAAATCAAATCATTAAGAATCAATAACAATTTTAACACCAATTTAATTTTCTCAAAGTAAAGAAAATGGTTAATTAAGTTTAAAAAAAATCCAAAATTTCCTCCGGATTGTTCCGTCCGATCGATTTATTACTTAATGTCATTGAACAGTTAGCATTGGAACCTAGGCAGTAACAAATCCTTCACCTAGATAACCAGCCGACGATTCACGATCGGATCGGAACTAAAGATAACAATTGCTTTGAAGACGTAGCACTTTGAATAATTGACATAACTATGTACTATCTTGATTCAAGAAGCGCTCTTAAGAAATCAAGTCACTCATAGTGAGTACTATGTATGTAGATATAACTATGTACATCTTTACTCGCATACTGAACACGTTTGTTTTAAGAACCGAGTTAAAATTAATAAAGTAAATTTTATTAGAAAATCATCTACTCTGTCCAGGTTTCAGACGGGATTTGAACCTGTATCTTCCACATCGATAGCGAAAGATGCATAAAAATAATAATTAATGAAGTAATTAATCTTCACTATGAAGATAATAGACGAGACAGAATCATACCCCGCATATTGCAACGTATCCCATCCGGCTCTGTAATTTGGGAACAACTTTTTTATGTAATTGCTTGCCTCATGGAGAGCAACCACCATAGTATACCAGAGACTACCACTCACACAAACCCATGGAGCTCTGAAAACCTTACCGACTGAGTGCGCTAAACCTACTTAAAAGTTTTGAGCTATATACAACTAATATTATAAATGTGAAAGTATGATTGTTACTTAATCACGAAAAAACCAGCTGAACGGATTTGGATGAAAATTTTCACACAGCTTATAAGGAACGAGACAAAAAACTTTTTATCCCGGAAAAGTGTTAGGTTATTCCAAAAATCTAAAGTTAACACGGACTTAGTCGCGGGCGGCCGCTAGTATTATACAATTCACATTGGAAATAAAGAAAGAAAATAGAAATTGGTTATTGACTATTTATATGATGGTATTTGGTTTCGCTAGATCCCGATAATTTGTAGAGTCCTCCCACTATTGGGGTCGTGTTTAAGCGATTATCGCTTTAAAAGTGGTCGACCGTCAACTTTCTTCGATTAGTACGATGAGAGAACGTAATAATGAGTATTGTGTGTTAAACACTGGTTCGGCACTGATCAGTGTCTATCATTTTATTTAAGTAGACATATGGAACTGACATACAAGTTTAAACGCTATGTGTAGTCGATAAAGGTTGTAAGAGTAAAGAGGACGTCATGAGTTCGAATTGCAAATACTAACTGCTCATTTGAAATGTCCCACTTCCTCATATGCAAATAACCCGTTAATTGTGGGCGAAACAATACAAAGTAGGGCAGACAGGTTTATTTACATATGTTGAGATTTCTGAAGCCTCCAATGGCTTTGTATTGCCAGTAAGCGGTATAGAGACAAAATATACATTACCAACTTTAAGCAGAAAATAACAAAAAAAAAAGGCTTTGACTTCAAACTTGAAAGATAGACAGACATCTTTGACGTACTGTTTATTCATATAGTAAGAGAAAATTAGCTTTGTGGGTAACAAAAGATACACCTAATAGCTTGGAATCTAGACTAGACTGTAAGTGACAGAAAATGTGAACGCATTGTAACAGCGGGGCGGCATCACTAAGATTTTAACTATGTGAAACATTTAAGTAACTTTCACCCATTTAATGTATGACGGTGCTTTTTAAGTACAGATATTCAAATGACACCGGAAGAAAGAGCTCTTGATGATAGATGTACATTTAACAATCTCGATGTACAAATATGTAAATCATCTATTATTTTTTTAAGATCAAATTAAAATCGTCTTTGTTTGTGTTACATAACTGTCACTAACTGCTTAAGCAAATGCTTTTTGAACGTGCAATTTGATTAATAAGTCACCGCTTAGCTGTTATGTCGAGTTTTACAACTGTCAGCTTACAATTTTATTAAAGTGTTATGTCAATTTAGAAGTGGAAAACACGCACAAAAACCCACCCATTTATTTAACTTTTGACATCTTAGACTATCTTGATTGACATTGACAGCACCAACTTTAATCGTTTTTTAAAGTTAATGGATGACTGTAAACAGGCATTTCATAAAATAAATTATTTAATGTATTTAATATGAACAAACAATGATTTTCTTTTATAATCTCAAAAATTTCGATTGATTATTCAAAGCTGTATTATCTAGTAAGGTATATTATAAAAATCCAATTGTAATACTATCATATATTCCTGCGAGGATCTCTAAGCCTATGAGCGTAACCAAAATTCGCACAAAAGCTGCAGTAGACCACTTCACCAATTTTCGTCATGTAATATGAACCATGAATGGCGCTGAATTATAATATCGGTTATTGCTATCATCAAACTTCATTCCCGATCACGAGTTTCTCCTGTGTCATGAGAAAATGTCAGCGTATGTTATTCAAGTTGTTGCGATATGACCACATAACACAGAAAGGATATGAAGATCCGAGATGGTGAGATAGCCATAGGAACCAGTTTCTTCGTACTATTGTTAACCGGTAAGTGGTTATCTGTTGATAGTATTCTACCGACCGACCATAATAGCGTAAGCGTAGTGTAAATATTTTCAAAGTGGGTGGCAAAAGTCGCTTATTTTATGCCGACACTTCTTTGGATATTCATGTTTGCTATTTGTCATTTTGACAGCAGATTCTCGTTATTTGACAGTTGTTAAGTTTACAAATAGCAAATACGAATTTAAGTATTGTAAGTACCGGCATTATACGCCTAGTTGCGTTTCAAACGTTATGTTTATTCAACGAAGGTTCTTTTTGCCTCTAGTGCGTCGTGAATTCTGCAATTACACACAAAATGGTGCTCCCGGTCACTGCAGTAATTATGGCTAGAAGAAGTCAAATATGACTGGGTCGCGATTGAAAGGTGGTTAAGTCATTAATTTCTTCCTGATCGGCCAGTATTTTGTAGTTATGCGGTTAATGGTGCATATATCGATTATCTTTTAAATCTGTTCCTGGATTTAATGCAATTGATTAAAGGCAACAAACTCGGTGCCGCTCGTAGCTTCCAATTGTTTGTTGAATATGCATTGCATTATATATTTATAATTCGTTAAAATTGCGATCATAAGAATAAACTATGAAAAAATTGCTATTTTAATGGTATTATTTTTTACAGTTCCAAGTAGATTATAAATTTACTACTAGTAAATTAGCCAAGAGTGTTCTACCAGTGTAAACATTTATGATATGATTAACATACAGGTGTTGTTAATATTGCATGTAGCCACGAGGCCAGAACTAATGTAGAATCACGCTGTAAGTTATTATATAAGCTTGAAACGGGTTCTTTTCTCACATTGAGAATAAGAAAGGAGAGAAATTGTGTTTTATTTTCAAAAAATATTTTCATACAGAAATACAAAAATTTAAATGGTTTATTTTGTTTCGGAATTACATGATGAATTGCTAAAACACCAGTGAGATGCGATTTGTATAATGAGGATTATTACTAGGTAAGCAAATCAAGTCGATATGCTTTTTAAATCATCTTAATCGGATCATTCGTTGCAATTTTATAACTAATTTTATAGAAGCCAATATTCACCGGCCGGCCGAAACGTGTGACGTCACAGAGCTCGATCGTGGTTGATTCCGGTCAAAATTCAGTAGCGTCTTTACGCACGCTCACGCCCGCGCGCTAGAGCTCTGTGACGTCACAGCCACTACGCGGCCAATCGAAAATTCGATAAGTAATTTGGTCATAACTTCGTCAATATTTATCGTAGAAAATAATTTTAACCTCTGTATTTTATGAAATCCTTAGCTCTCTATAAATATGCATTCTCGACTGAAATCGTTACGGATCCTCATTTAACAGTTTCGTGACTATACGTAGGTCATTTGAAAAGTTAATTGTTTCAAATAAAACTGTACCCCTAGCACGAACCAATATCGAATACGTATCGTTTGCGAGTCCGAAATGTCATTGTCAAATGTGTACTTACGTACGTACTTTGTGTCGCTGCTGTTCAAGTTTCCATACAAAATTTGACATTGCCATTTCGGTTTGCAAACTATTCGAATTGGATGATGGTTCGTGCTAGGGGTACTGAATTACAATTATGCGCAAACGTTTCATTAAACGAAGAACAGATTCATTTTTTATGATTTACCTGACAATCGGTTGTAAATTCATAAATGTATGATCAATATAGCAAGTCGATGGTAAGATCATCCTGTCAATGAATGAAGTTGTTCGAGGGATTTTACTATTAAAATGAATGGGTTTACAATATTTGTGATTATTAATTCATTGAAGTTAATAAAATACGTTAAGGATAATAGCATTTTAATAAAGAGTGACTGATTTAGTTTCCAATGACGTTGTATGGCGAACCACAATACAGTTTTAGCGATAGCTCCATAAATAGGTAAAAACAATAATTATGTATTACGAATGTGACAAAATCAATCGTACCTAATAAGGCGCTTAGCAGACGACGGGGCGGGGCGGGCTTTTTGTCCGCGAAGCAATAAAGACCGCGTCTGCCCGCGTCGATGTCTGCGGCTGCCCGCGCCGCGTACACAAAGCACACGCGACGGGCAGAGGCGGTCAGATCAGGACGTTCGTTCTAGTGAATAGTCCATCACTAAAAAGCGCGTGGCGCGGACTGAGCTGACCGCCCCGCGCCGCCGTCTGCGTTACTGCATATAAACTGGTTTGTATGATCCACGGCGGACAGCCGCGGACATGCCGCGCCGCCAGTGCCCGCCGGGCACCTGCGGCGCGGTCTTTTTGCCCTCTGTGTGCATTTGTAATATAGGATTCACTTTGTGCTATCGTTTGCGGCGAAATTGACCGGCCCGCCCCGCCCCGTCGTCTGCAAAGCGCCTAAATGTAAAAGTATTTTGTGATACATCCATCATCACTGTCGTAACTGTAAATCCCCTGCGACATAAGTACGTAGTGCAGTCTTATCTATGTTTGTAATGTTTACAACAGACGGAGAAATTAAGTACCCATGAGCTAAAGGGGAAAGATAGAGGAGAATTCATACTTCTGAATATTGCATGAAGTCTTAACCAGATAGTCAATGAGAAAAGAAGTTTATGCCCAGTTTCTTGTCAAAACAGTCTTTTGAGAGCGGTGGTTATCGGTATACACTACACACGATCAGATTATCGCCTATAATATTACTTAGTACTAGATTTAGCTATTTTCTTTCATTCTTAGATCAGCGATAGATTTTTACGCAATTTGACACTTTCGAAGCTTATTTATGTCATTAAAATGAATATCACCTATGTTCTTCTTCAAACTAAGTGTTTCGGGCGGATGTCTGTTACGACCACCACGCGCCGGCGGTGTAGTTACACTGGCAGCGTATGGGAATCCGGCTGCAAGGTATTAGCCATAGCTTGTCAGGCGAACCGCTACAACGTCTAACGTAGAAGTTCTCGCTGTGGCGCTGCCGCCGCTACAAGCCGGCGTCACAGTTGCACCGGCGAAGTGAGGAATTCCGGCAGCGCGCCTTTAGCCACGCGCCTTCACTTCTAGATGTTTATTTCGCAGGTAATTTGTATGATTTACATTTCGATATAGTTAGATATTACATAGGGACTGTGGACATGGTGGTCGAGACAAATTTCAGTTTTACTTAATTAGTTTAATTACTTTAGAAGTGCCCTACTAAGCATGTATTTTAAGTTAGTCCTATTTGAATGGGTAACTATCTACCTGATGTCTGCAATAAAATCTGATTTGTCCAACCAGTGTTTTATGATGGTCACCTTACTAAAACAATCAAAGTTGAAATTTGAAAAAATTTAACGAGTCGTGAATTTGCCTTCGGCATATTTTAAAACAACGAGCGTTTTCAAACGGACGACGCCGTTTGTAAAATGCGAAATCATACAAATTGCCTGCGCCATTTATAAAGGGTTGATAAATGGTGTAATCTTCGTTCACGAACCGCTGCAACGTCGCCACATACGAGTTCTCACTGTGTATGATGGTCGCGACCACGTGCCGACGTCGTAGTTGCACCGGCGTGAGGAATTCCGGTGGCGAGCCATTAGCCAGCTCAACTCGACATGCTTATAGAGGGTTGATTCATGGTGTGACCTACATTTACGAGCCGCTGCAACGTCGCCACATAGGAGTTCTCGCTGTGTATGATGGCCGCCACCACGTGCCGGCGTCGTAGTTGCACCGGCGTGAGGAATTCCGGCGGCGCGCCGAGCGACGGTGGTGGCACTCGCCCGCCGCGCACCTCGCCGCCGCATGAGAATAACTCCTCTTCGAGCTGAACAAACAAAAATAGGTTTGTAAATATATTATCATAATTAGCCGATGTACGTCCACTACTGGTCATAGGCCTACTCTAGGGATTTCCAATCAACGGTTGCACGCTTTGCGGAACCGTGGGTTCCCCCGACTCGCTTGATGTCGTCAGTCCACCGTCCACGTCCGTCAGTCGTCTGTTGTGAATATAAAATTTTACTTATTTTATTAAATGCAATTAGCTGCTTTTGTCTAGAATTCATTAGTCAGCGTCAAGTTTTTCCTTAGATTTAATTGTTACTGGAATAGTTAGAAGGTAGATAGTTTAATAGATTATTGAAACGATGCATTTCAACGAACATTAGGGCTTTCGCCAAATGTAACCTACATTTAATAGTGTAGAGTTAACTAGGATCACGCACTTTTTGTAATTGATCCTAAATATTGTCGATTTACGTAGATTCTGACAATATAATGCATTGATATTTTACTACTAAATAAATTCGATAAAAATTTGTTAATAATCAAAATGTGAACGGAAATCTATAAAATGGGACCAAACGCCCATTATAGTATTCGTTTGTATTGTATATGAGTTGGAATCACAACATTAATGATGTTCATCAGTTAAAATGTAAGAACTTCTGACCTTATTATTGGAATTTGACGAAAATGTTTATATCAATTCAGTTTCACCAGTTATACTATTTGTTTTGTACACCTGTATATGACACGGAGAATACACATTCCTAGACTATTGAAATTTGAAGATTTAGTTAATTAAGAAATAAGTATATAATTGGAAATCGGCGAACTTCATAGAGTTCCGAAACAAATTTTCGGAGATTTAAATAAAAAGCACTAACATTGGAAAACATGGAATAGTTTCAATAAATGTAAACAATGGTTTGTAATAATTAAATATCTTTGTTGTTATAAATTATGGACAAAGAGAGAGGGACAGAGTGAGCTCTATTGCATTTAATTCATATTTCTATTGATCGTATCTAATTTAAGAACAGTACTTCTATATAATTATCCCGATAAAATTATTTCAATTTGCTCTTTGTTCGTTGGATTTGTTTATTTAAACATGACAGACAACATTTTCGTATTCATGCCGCATGCCTGCCGAGCAGCAGACAAGTAACGTTTTTGTACAGCACCTACTTGTTTATGATTCATTTATGTGCGCGCGCGACTGTGTCTGCTATTGTACATAAATTGATAAGGAACCGGCGCGCGGCGTCCGTTTGTCTGCTGTCTACTTATGGCCAATGGCTTTGGCTTAAAGTCCAATATTTGCTCAATTAGTTAGCTGATATCTTATAGAATTATATAAACCGATGAATAATAAATGTTATTTGCGACAGACCGCTGAACTCTTACTAGCGCTTGCGTCACAGCAATGCATATCACATCTCCTAGTTTTAAACGAGAAGTCAAGTTTTAGAAGATCACATATAAATAAGGTTGAACATATAAATCTTGAGGTATAGTATGGATGTTCTATGGCGGCGAATTAAATGGAACACATTTTGGGTAAATAAACAGTTCAGCGAATACAAGAGAGAAGCATGTCGGTGGTCGGCTTGATTCTCTTAACGTGTGTTGCGTCAACGGAAACCTCGCGTAATTCGTAACGTATAAATAGTTTAACGTTAACGTGAGCTGTGCACGCGTCACATCGCATGGCATGAACGGGCGCGATTCACAAAATCACCAAAATACAAAACACTGCACACAGCACAGCACCGTCCAAAACTCCTATATCATTCACTTACGTCACACTTTAACAACTCATAGTGCTCTCTTTCGGGAAATAATCTCGTGCAAAACATTTCACACAAATTCTACTTTGGAATTAACATTTGACATTAACGTAACACACGTTATCCGCGTACTCTGACTAAATATACACTGGTGTGTAAAAAAATATTACAATCGTATGCATGAACCCACGGTGGTAGATCACTGGATACCAATCTGACATCATTATATCACATGTCTTAGCAACTTATTTGTTTAACGACTCGAGACCTCTCCGACGCGCTTATTAAAGAAAACGTGCGACGCTTTACTGCGGTTAGTTGTTGACTGACTGCTCAATGGCCACATTATGATTCATCTAAAATATATACGTGAATCACTATATTGTATCAATAGTACTTATTAATACATATTATAGCGGGATAGAGGCCAATGAAAAGAGTAGTTAGTTTGATTCCAGAAATTGTGATCACTGGGGGAGTCATTGACCAATTGTTTACGAACATAACATCCGCTTCATTGATATATATGGGTATTTTTTTGAAGTGGCTCATAGCACGAACAATTATGGCATAACGCCACTATGAAAATGGTTTTGAGTTTGAATTTAAAATAAAACTGTGAATGCTTCTTATTATACACGATATCTACCAGAGGAAAATATGACTTTAAATACAAAGAATCTTTATTCACTTCAACTGACGATTAAATATTTTTCTATCAAATAAAGACATTACCAATTAAGGAACAACAAATTAACAATCGCTTGGGATTATACAAATAAAGAGATAAATAAATCTCTTATATAGAAACTTGTTTGAGAAACATGTGCATATGTGCATCAGAAATATTTTTTATGAAGTCATGCAGACACTGGGAATCTTTCAAAGTATGGCAGACGTGTCTTTGTTTCGTGAGAACCGTCTGAACTTAGAAAAAACCGCACAATAAATGTAATTATTTGCTTATTCATATGAATGTCCCTGATATTTTCCTAGAGCAATTTATTCATTTCATTAAATGGCAAAAAACATTGTTTGAGGCGTAATAAGCTACTTATGCTTTACGTGGTGTTAAGTCAGCCTGTAAACGAAACGCGAAGCGTTTCTGAAAAATACCTGTGTAATTGACAAAGATACACAATGACTTTACTCCGTCTAGTTGGGAGACCACACAAGCTTCTTGTGTTTCGGAGAGGAGAGAAGATGCGAGCGGGTATAGGTTAACCGCAAACTGAGACCTCGCCTGCGGGGTACAGGGTGTGGGGGAGGACGAGAAGGCGATCGTGAGAGGTGCGGGCGGCGGCGAGGGCTCAGTTAAGCGTTTTACCTATAGATGCGAATTCCTCTTCCGAATAGTGGCTGGCGACAGCGAAATGAGCAGCCAATTTTTTACGTTCGTGTTGAAACGGTCGATGACCAAAGTATATTGGTGATGCTGCATGTCACCGCACGTGTTTCCAAGAAAGTAAAGGAGATGGAAGCCAGGAAAAATGACCGCAACGTAATTGCAATGGTAAAGATGATAGAGAGCACGCTTATAAGCTTGACGACTCATAACAATAATGAATAGTTGTAGAGGTTCGACGTTGTTAATCATTTCTATTTCTACCTGTCCCTCTAATTGAACTACTTTGACTGGTGTGCCGACGCACGCTTTCGTTCCTTCTCGTTTTCTCCGTTCGCGATCACATATCTTTTGTATACTGAATGCAGCAGTTGGTTTCACCTCTGAGAACAATAGCAATTTGGTTTGCGCGTTGGTTAGTCTGAGTCGATTCCAGGCGCATGTTGACCAGCGAATCAGTTGCTAGGCGCAGGCTGCTCAGTTTAATAGCCGCATTCCAGCCACGGTGACTATCAGGAGCGTAGGGGCGTTTTGGTCGTGCCGTCTTTTACTCAAAGCTCTAAAAGCTCCATATGATGAGTAGATATGTCCGACTCCTGTGTATGCATGACGTACTGGTGGGCCGGCTCCCCCCGCATGCTGAACCAGCGTGCTAGCCCCCCCCCCCCCCCTCGTCTTCGGGCTCACATAGCTTCATTTGACGAGTAAAGTAATCAGTCTCACCTCTGGTAACTTGGGCATCTTGTCCGACTCCTGTGTATGCATGTCGTACTGGTGGGCCGACCCCCGGCGCACGCTGAACCATCGCGCCAGCCGCCCCCCGCCCTCGTCGTCGGGCGGGGGCGCCGGGGGCGTTGGGGTCGCGCCGCCGCTGCGCCAACGCTCGCATAGCTCGCGGGCGCGACTGAGGGTGTTGCGAAGCTGGCCGGTGCTCCTGTTATTAACAAAGAATTTATGCATTCGTTTTAATAATGAAATAAGAGAGTTATAGTAAGATCTTTTGCTGTACTCATTATTAAAATTTCTTTAGGAAATGTTTAAAAAAATATGTAAGTAGTTAATACAATAATTATTTTGCCTTATGTGTGTTTTGAGCTTATGATTTATGGAATGAAGAAAATAAGCCGTTAAGTTTCGAAATAAATAAAGAAAGATGTGGTTCACAAATAGCTAATTTTCCTTAGAATAATGACTTGTCCAATTCGTACTTGCTTAATATATAAAATAATAATAATTCAGTCTTCCTTGACATAATGTTTAATAAATAATTCTTTCGTTACAGTTAAAATTAAGATTTTTATTGACATTTATTAAGCACTTTGATTTATTTGACAAATTTGTTATTGTTATAAGATTTGGTAGTCTCAATCTTATCTCATCAAGTGAGAAATCTGAAGCGTATTTCTGCTAACAGTTTCTCAAGTCGTAAGGTGGCAAATTAATTGCGAAATTAGCATAATTTGTAAATTACTTTGACCCATCCGTCCGTCGGTTACTAGACTGGACAGTTTTTAGTTTGATGATTTTGTCCACAATATTAATATTAAGTAAATAATTCTTATAGCTGCGAACGTTCTCTAGTTCCCATTAAATTAGTTACTGACCTAATTAATTTATTCTACCTTTTACGGAGACATTAATAAGCTAATTGGTAAGTTGAAGTACAGTTCTAATATGTCTATTTAAGTTCAACTTATGTTAGAAAGGTTATTAAGAACTGCGGAAGTGTAAAAATCAAAATCTGAACATAAATAAAGTCGATAGTAATAATTTCACTCAATATTCTATTTATGTTACAGAGAGGATTAAGAGATAAGATAAGGAGAGATTAAGATGAGAAAATAATGTTGCGTGAGAGTATTCCATTAATTCTTATTGCTGGCGTGCTCGATCGAGGAAGCTACCTTTATCATACCAAGTCCTCATAATGTTAACCTTTGAATTGAACTGATCTTTGCGTAATTCGTTATAATAAAGATAGGTTCTTTAATAGATCAGTTTGTATTAATTGGTGAGAGATCGATAGGATGTCGGCAATTAAGCTGAACGCGGAAGGAGCTCGATTAGGTCGAGAAAACGTGATAATCGGTGAAACTTTTTTAACTAGAGCTATTAGATAACTATTTATTTATTAGTTTTAGTTGTTATTCAACTGTGTTAATTATTTCGCATAGCCATTGAAAATCCATATCGACGTTGTGCAATCCGTTGCACTAAAATGTTAATATACCGTGAAAAATATTAATTCGATTAAGTACACCTTGACCGTGGTAAATGTTCAGTCGTGTGTGTTTATTGAGGTAATCACAGAAATAAATCGACCACTAACAAATCAATCACCGCAGATTATATTTATAAAACAATAGATCATTAGGTAAGCAAACACTTAATAAAGATCGTGTAAAATAGTTGTATATTGGGTATTTATTATAATTAAGCTTACTATTCCTGATACATACATAGATAGAAAACGTTTTGTAACAATTTTGTGGAAGTTGTACGAGTTCAATTTATTTTCTGAGGTGATACATATTTCTATTATTGAATAAAATTTCTCGAATAGATGTTAAAATGATTACAAGTATTACCAAATTAAAACTAAGCGCGTTCTATCGTCTGTACCACGGCGAGTGTTCTGAGGACCACGAAATTTGGTGACCCATTTCTTTGTCGCACTATCCGTAAATGGAATGCTCTGCCCGCTTACGTGATCCCTCCTTCTTACAACCTAGGGTCCTTTAAAAGAGGCGCGAAGAAGCAAGGTGAGGAATGGCTTGTGGGGCAGGTAGAACTGCTCTACCAGCTATCTTCACGTCTGGACTTCACCGTCACTCAACATCAGGTGGGGTGGAGTCATTTGTCGGACCTATATCTATAAAAAATAGGTAATGCCGTCTGCAAGAGTTTGTACCTACAAAACGAGATCAGACGGACGGAGAGAATGTTACCAACGATATAAAAATTAATCCTCAATGGGTGACTTAAAATTAATTAATAAAGATAGTAATATTGCAATCATGCGTCATAAGAAATACGAAAGATTGTTTTTGTTGTACAATGCTGCAAGTTAAAAAATGTTCTCCGTTTTACTACCATTATTATTTTATTATGATTGGTTATTTTACTTATAAAGACTACCTACCTACCTACTTTTCCCCTTTCATTATTCATTACTCGTTCGTCGAATTTCTGTGGCTAATAAAGTACTTTGTATAAACATATATGGCAAGTGTTATTCATCAGGCACAACTTATATATTTATGTAGCTAAATGACAAATGTACTTATTTATTTGCAGATATTTGCGCATTCGCGGACGTATTGCATTAATGTATGTGTAGCCAACAACGCGGTAAGTAAAGACAATTCAATCTTATAAGGTAATGCAGTAATGATAAAATATTGTTTGTGGTTGTGGCACACAGTGCGAAATAATCTGAGTAATGAAACGTTATTGTTAAGTTATAGACATAACATGGAGATAGGGTTGCCAGTACAGAGTTTTATCCAGAGATTGCTGTCTTGAATATATTTATTTGAAAGGCTGGTGGTGGACTTTTAAAAGACCTCATTAAAGCAATAAGGTACTTGCTTGCGTGTAATTTATAAACACTAAAGTATTTGATTCACTATCAAATGAGTGTTCTTTTATAAAAACTTTACAGTAATAAAAAAAGACCATGAAAAACCCACTAGAAAGTAAGAAATAATACAATAAAATTATTTTCTAATATCTTAACTACATTTAAAGTCAAATTAATATTTGGAGTTGGTGCTATGGCAACACAAACAGTTAACGGTAACTCAAATAAATACGTGCGTGAAATACACTTTTTATAAGCCAGAGTAACATCAACTAAGAATAGGTTAACTGGCTTGCATTATCTCCTTCATATCTATTTTAAAATATCCAAACATACTGTTACAATAGAGGAGTAGTTCCATTGTTTTCTTCGAAAGTATAGTCGTTTACTGATGAATTTCAATAACATTTCGAAGGAAAACAGGTGGTTGATTTCTGCAAATAATAAGATAGTGAATGCTACATTATTCTACAGTTAGTACAGCATTGTCAAAAGCCAATGAAAACAACAGTAAACAAATTTTATATACGTTTTGAATTTGATGGCAACCCTGAGAAAGGCATATCGGTTAAGATGATTAAAGGTACTGCTTTGTTGTATTGACACAAATAACTATATTATAATATACTTATGAAGTCTTTATTATAAGGTACTATGAATAGGTTTTCGATAGAATATTATTTATATCAGTATTGTTGTTTGGTACTTAAGTTTTAAATCGTCATTTTATGGGGTGGCAAAGAAGCACAAGAATGGCCTATTTATGGCAGGCGGTCATCATAGCTTATAGACGCTTTCGACTAGATTGCTTGGAATATAGCTGTGTGCTGCTTAATATACAATTTATATCTAAGTTTGGTAAGGCAGATATTATTCTATAAGGTGGAAGATTTTCGTAGTCGGGCGCTCCTATTTTAGCGAAACAATACGCAGTATTTTGCTTAGTTCAATAATAATAATTCTATTGATTGATCTCGGTAACAAACAACGGAGTCCCTGATTTCCGAAAGAACGTCATAAGTAGTATCTATGCATTAAAACCAGCGTCCTATTTCAGAAAATTATCTTTGCTACTAATCAGAATAAAATATGTGTTTATCGTAACGAGATACAACATAAAATTACCAAGTGGCGGGTGAGGGATCATTATAAGTTTTGACACAAAAAGCCGAGTTCGCCAACATTGCAGTTTCATTTAAAAAAAAAAGGAGTTTATGAACAGGTTTTAACATTAACGTCATTTTTTCACGTAACAAGTTTCTTTCGTGTAATAAATTAAAAAAAGCAAATCATAAATAGTTTTTCGATGAATTTTATAATTAATTAATCATGATTGATAGCTATTCCCGATATGCAAGTTATTAAATTCTTGGTTTTGATGTGTGTTCCATAATGGCATCTGTTTAATCAACTTGACGTCGCTCTGATTACAAAGATATTTAACAAATATTTTGTACTTTTTAATTTATATCAATTTAATTTATTGTCAGTAAATATGGCGTGGTATCGTTCGATCGTTCAATATCGCCTCCAATGTCTAGTTATATATAGTCTAATCAGTACATAGGTCACGGGTTTGATCTCGGGTCGACTTTTGCAAGTACGACGCAACCAGTGCTATGATCAACAATGGCGATTATGCCAATTATAGGTACTAGCCATTAAATCGAGGTCCTTCGTGGGTCTTGTTGCTCAACCCGAACATGTAAGTACAACATTGTCAATTCGACAACAATGGACAATTATTATTAATATGTTATGTCTTTTGCCTATTTCTTCAGTCACTGCGACGTATTACTTTCGAAATTCTTCATTAAAGATATCCTTCTATCTATTAGAACTTATTTGTAAAAGATTGCTATAAAAACTCATCCCATATGTGGCGCTGTTAAGGTGTAGGAAATATTATTATATCTTCCCGCATGTTTAGGGGTAGTTTAGTATCTGGATGCCTTGATGTGTTATTATAGTATAATTATGGACTTACACTACGAATTTCTTGCACAGTTTAAAGCCGTTAGAATGTCAAATATTACTTATAACACGATTGTATATTAATTTAGGTTTATAGTCTAATTTAAATTAATAAAATATCAAAATTGTAAATCTCTGTTACATCATGAAGAAATCTAGCATCTAGAGAACGCGCCTGTCATCATAACATCATGAGAACATACTAGATATTTATTTAAATCATATGCGGAAGTTTGTGTTGTCATGAACATACGATTGCAGAGGTGACTGAGGTAATACCTCCATTATCGACATAAGAGATCTTTTAAAGGCCATATGCAAAGCTATACGGTTGGCTGACAGAATTAAATTAGAAACTAACTTTTGTCCCCCGTTCT